TTTTCATTTTTAAGATGCATGGAACTGTTTGCAAAACCTGGATAAAGATAATTCAATTTCCGTAAATAGTTAAAAATATCCGCCAGGAATATACAGAGCGTCCCATATCATATTAGACTATCTCCAAGTTTTAACGCCAAAATAAACCTATAATACTCGAAAAACCTCGCATTTCCCACAAGAAAATTCCTACATTAGCCTTATTCAATTTTTCAAAACAGTTAATTCTTTTTAAGTTTTCTGATTAGTCCCGAAAATCGTAATTTAGACCTATGGACTATCTAATATGATATGGGACACCCTGTATATATATGGGTGGATCAAATAGGTTTGCGGGTTAAATTTGGGCCTCAGCCCCCAAGTCTCAGGTAATGACTTATTACTTACGAAAATGCTTCTTTCTGGTTTATTACAGATTATTTGCGGGGAAAAAGTAAGGATGCACCACCAGTCGAAAACACTGTCCAGAGCTGAACACTAATTGTATTGGATACCCTTAATCCTGATTGCTGAAAGATTAAATTAATCTTAAGGTTTATAAAAAAAGAAGATCAAACATTGATCACGATATCCACAATTATTAAGTTTTTAGCTCAGAAAACATTTTTTCCAAACTTCCTTTCCTGTTTTTCAAATATGAAAAGTTATTATTTTAAAGATAACTTAAAACTTTTATACTAACCGGACAATCTTTTTGATCCACCCTGTAAATATTTTTGATCCACCCTGTTTATATATATTTTTGATCCACCCTGTTAATATTTTTGATCCACCCTGTTTATATATTTTTGATCCACCCTGTTTATATATATTTTTGATCCACCTTGTTTATATATTTTTGATCCACTCTGTTTATATATATTTTAGATCCACCCTGTTTATATATATTTTTGATCCACCCTGTTTATATATATTTTTGAACCACCCTGTTTATATATTTTTTATCCACCCTCTTTATATATATTTTTGATCCACCCTGTTTATATATATTTTTGATCCACCCTGTTTATATATATTTTTGATCCACCCTGTTTATATATATTTTTGATCCACCCTGTTTATATATATTTTTGATCCACCCTGTTTATATATATTTTTGATCCACCCTGTTTATATATTTTTGATCCACTCTGTTTATATATATTTTAGATCCACCCTGTTTGTATATATTTTTGATCCACCCTGTTTATATATATTATTGATCCACCATGTTTATATATATTATTGATCCACCCTGTTCATATATATTGTATCATTAGAAATAGATATAAGAGGGGAAAAAATATAGATTGAATGATTAAATATTTGTTGTGCAAAGTGTATTCTTTATCTAAATAAAAATTTTTTTTTTTTTTATATAGGTGTTGAATTTTGTCAATTCATTTCATGTTTCTGCTTCAAAAATCCCCAAGTCACTTGCGTATAGAGAACACCAGAATCCAAAACTATTAATTAAAAGAAAATATGTAAAAACAAGATTATCTTACGTCTATGTGCAGTTCTTTTCATCACGCTCAAATTTCTTGTTTAACAGAGAAGTCTTTAACTTCCAATATATTCACCCTCATTAGCTGAATTAACTTATTTATTTTCAACCCTTCCCTTGTTGGTAGAGAGTCAAGATTGCTTCGAAAAAACTTGATGGAAGTCAGAGAAAATATATTTCGATATATTACATATCCTTCTCATTTCTATTCAAAAACAACCAAATTATTTGATAATACAAAAAATGAGGAAAAAAACACATTTAATAACGAAAAATAGATGCAAAGGTAAAATAAATTTAAATTTTTTTGAAATGAAACAAAAGTTTTGAATTAAAATGAATAGGGTCAACCTTGAGGTGAAGTGTGTAAGGAAAAACTGAAAAAATACACAAAATTCTATCAAGGGGTGGGAAGAGTTGACCGACAGTATTACAGAGGGAGTGGGGTTGGGCCGGGGGTGGGAGGGGTTAAATACAGGTTTTGTGACAAATCTTACTATAAAAACAAAAGCCAAAGCAAAAAAAATTTTGATTGAAACTGGCCAAAAAAAAGGAAGATTAAATGTAAAACACTAAACAAAAGAAAACAAAGAAACCAAACTGTAATAAAAGCAAACAATATCAAAAGGCAGAATACTTTCACATCTTTCTTTTTATTTTTTATAATTTCTATTTGTCCTGGCAAACACGTTAAATATTTAATCATAGTATATTGTGAGATCAAATCTAAGAAGTAAGAGAAGTGCACTAAGCTTTTCTTAATATTTAATGCACGCCTCTAAACTCTTAATAAATATTATACAACAATATAGTATGAAATATAAGAAGTTGAAACCTTTAGCACAGAAGAGAAAAAAATGATATGTTGTAAATTTCGACAGTTTTTGTTTTGTTTTCCTAATTGTAGTTCTAATTCTCTGTGTGATTATCACTCAAATAGTGTTCGAATTGCCGTAAAACGGAAGCTAGTGTACGCTAGCGTAGTGTGAAGTAAAAAAGCTGACGCTTCATGTACACCCAAAAAATACCGAATATTCTATATTTTAAGTGTTCATAAGAAATTGCATGTAAATATTTATTTTCGGAGGCTGTAGGAAAGCTAATATTTCTTACATAAAAACAGCTTACAAATCAACCGTTTCTCTTAATATACATTCTACAGCCTACAGCAGTTTCTTCAATTAGCATAATTACGAATCTCCGCCACCCAATATAAATAGTCACGTGTTTTACTCTGCACGTCCCATTTTAACATACAAAGAAATATCTTTCTCAGAATTTATCTATAGTTTTGAATATTCATACCTTTATTTTCTTCATTGTATTCGAGTTTTGTTCAAATAATTCTTACCTAGATAATATCTATTTGACGTTAATTCTGTTTAATTTTTATGTAAATGTTAAGAAACCTGTTTTTTATTGAAACAGGGAAATTGGGCGTTTATTATTTGATTCATGACTAAAAAATATCTAAAATTCCAATGACTGTATAACTAAGTTTAAGATAAGAATTTTCATAATTCGAATAATTTCCGGCTTCATTGTAAACTATTTATGAAAGAATTAAACACGATAAGTGTGATACATTGTACAGTTTAAAGGGAGTATTCGCTAAAAAATGAAAGGGGGTATAGGCTTAATGCGATAAAAAATCGTTTTTGATCGCTACTAATCTTACTTCTATATGTTGCGTCTATAAGGAGAAAATTGTTGAAGACGTCTCATACCGAATAACTTAGCGGCCATACAAATTGAGAAAATTGCAACATACTACTTAGACCGTAAAAAATCAATTCAATTTCAAACAAATCATTTAGATATTACAACCTATGGTCATCGATTATCTTTAAACATTTAGTTAAAACTTACACAAGAAAAGAGTTTCAATTAAATCCTTTTCTAAAATGCTTAATTCTGAGAAGGGGACGGGTAGCAAGGTTTGCCAATATAATTCCCATAAAACTGAAACTAGACACAAGTATTTTTCAAACCAAGGAAAAAAGAAAATGCGTTTGGAATGAAGGAAGTGGTGAGTATCTGAGATGAAGACTAATGATTGGGCGGATTAAGAACAACTTTTCCTTTTTAAGAGATTATTAATCGTTTAATACATATAAAAACTTTAGAGATTTCAGGGAGTTTAACTAATTTCATCTATTTAAAAGTTTCCAGCTCCGAAAATGCTTTAAATGTAGCGTTCTACAGTTCCCAGGCTCTAAAAAATGTTAAAATTAATATTTAATGAACAAATTATTGAATTATACAAAACCCCACTCTATGAGCCTGCGTACCGTAAACTCTGCAGGTTCAAAGACTTTGCTAATTAGCAAAGTCTTTGTGCAGGTTCATTTCAAGTACGAGGCGGACTTTTAATCAGCTAGGGAAACCTGTACGGTACAAACACATACTTTGTAATGCAAAACGGGACTGTACGCCAAATGAAACATCATTTAAGCGGCGTGTCCTTTTTCGACTGTGATCAAATTTAATGAATTGTAAGAAGTATTTGAACTACGTTGACCAAGTTGAACCACTTCTCTTTTTCTTGAATCGGTGTAAAACAGAAGTGATTCAACTCAGTTTACATAGTTTAACAATTTATCATTCATTGATTGAATTCATTCATTGAGTTTAGACCAGTAAACAGTAATATCGGACTGAAACTAACGTTGGACCAAATCAACTGTTGGACATCAGACTTACAAAATATATTTTCGGTTTGTACTGTTTTCCAAAACAAATCAAATCATAAAACTTGTAAAGTTCTAACAGAAAATTATAGCTCAGAAAATAAAAATGTTTTAGATCAATAAATGCAAAAGAGTAAAAAACAGTATCAACTTACAATTTTATATGTCATAAACTAAAATGCTAATATATATATATATATATAGAAAATTCCTGAAAGACAACCCCCCCCCCCTGTGCGGTTATTTTAGGGGGCATTACCCTATTGAAAGAGTTTTCACGGAAATTATCAGTTTTCCGTCGGATTTGAGAACTTAAAGGCAACATTACTACGACTTATAGAAACTTATCCCAAAAAAAATTTTAAGTGACCGAACCCTATTTAACTCGAATAAGAGTTTCTTTGAAAGGATTAATAGTCGTTTATCAGGGCACGCTAAATTATCAAGCGTAAAGTATGTAAAAAAAATCTACATTTAATGAAAATATTTTTGAAAGCGCAGACTCCCTGACCAGTTATGCCAAGAAGGATTACTTAGGAGAGTTTAAAGTAAAAGTTTCAATTATAAAGAATTTATTTTTTCACCATGGATTTATCGCACCAATCATTGACTTGAACAACAGTTTTTATCACTTGTATTTGATCCAAAGCAGGGGAATTGAGTCATAAACTCAAATTTTCTAATCTATATATCTTTGCAACCTGAGAATTCATATTTTGAAATACCCAAAGTCACTATTTTGGGTTGCAAAGATGATAAAATATAGGGATTAGAAAAACTGAATTTGTGGCAAAGCATCAATTCCTTTCATATTTTATAGAATTAAGAATGTTGATATTAGTATATCTAATGTTGGGATCAGCCTGTCTACCCGGCGTGCTACCATTCGATACCTGGACCTACGGAGGTCAGAAGGGTCCTGACAACTGGCCTCTTGTCTGTGCTACAGGTACAAATGCAGCCCGTTATTTGGACCAAACCTGATACTCGGTGTAAGGTTTGGAACATATGCAGTAAGCAGGGTTTGGAACTTTATTCCAAGGATTCCAAGGGGTCACTATGTACGTACATTGTACACAAAGGAACACCATTTACGTATATTGTACACAAGGGGACACTATTTACGTATATTGTACACAATGGGACATTTTGTCGTATATTGGAAACAATGGGACATTTTGTCGTATATTGGAAACAAGAGGACACAAAGTACGTATGTAAAGGATGAACCTCAAAAACCGCACAAACGGATTTTTTGAATTATTACTAAGAAAATCCATATAATAATGGATAAAAATCCGCAAAGCTATTATTTTGGGGCCAGTTGATAGTGGATCTACCAAGAAAAAATGGAAAAAAAATTGATTGAAATAGCGAGCTGTGGATTGTACCAACTGATTTCAAAAAGAAAATATAAAAAAAATTATTTTTTTTGGTCTGGTCAAGGTTCGTTCGGAGGTACCCGTAGCTCTCTTTTCTTTTTTTTTAATGGATATTTTTATTTTTAGATTGCTCTAGCTTCAAAAGTAATAATCGCTGATCCAAAATTTTAGTTAAAAATGAAACCTAAGACTAACAGCTTATGATTTAAAAAAAAATTTCGAAAATATTTAATTTCTTCCATACTTTATAAACGAATGAAAATGAGACATGAAAAATCGAAAAATAGAAAAATCCGGGAAATCGATTTTCGACTTATGCTCAAATAATTGGTTGTAACAAAAAAGTATGAGGCCTAGAAAGAAAAATTTCACATCATGAAATAACTGAAATATAGAGCTTTCGAATGACACCTTGATTGTAAAAATTGAACAAAAATTGTTTCCTCAGTTACTAATACCCCTACTGCACAGTTTTTTTGAGACACCCTGTATGTTACCACTAAAATATATCCAATAAAACTGTTTGAATCATAATGCATTACACAATCAGAGAAGAATTTGTATTATGTGTGGTTTTTTAGGTTCACCCTTTATGTTGTACACAAGGGAAAAAATGTACGTACATTGCACACGAGGGGACAAAAAGTACGTTCATTGTACACAAAGGGACACTTTACGTAATAATGTATAAATTGCACATGATAGCTTTTGTTATTACAATTTGCATAAACATATTTTGATAAAAAAAAGTATCTTATTTTATTGTTGCAGTTGGCCTGAACCTTATTGTTTCAATCAAGTAGAATCTGGATCAACTACTGTACGTACTTTATTCGATAAACAAGAAATAAAACTTGGTTGGAAATTAAATTCAAATCGTGTTTTCTGCATTTGTATATATAACAAATATACTACCTTAGGAACCACTCAGCTTAGAAATTTACAACCAAGCTAAGAACATATTCAAGTAGTTCTTTCAAGTTCCCCAATCAGAATTTTAGGCAAATCGGTCAAGATTTTTAGATATGATAAAAAATTCCAACTAACAAATAGACTAAAAACGACTGCTACTTTATATAAATAATTATAATATAGAATAAGATTGGGACTGACAAATGAAACATTTAGTTTTGTAAATATTTATTCAGATATCTAAATATAAATATTAAGGGACTTTGGTTGTAATTTCAAAAGGCACTCCATTTAAAGAGATTACCAACGATCAAAGTGAATAAATACTAAAGTGGACCAAACTCATAGTTGGATGACGACATTTTATGTCCCAAGTATTTAGAAATATGTATATATATATATATATATAAATTGGTCTGTATACGGAGTGTACAGTACAACAGAAACTGGACTCCCTTTGTTTACAAACACAGACTTAGAATTTGTATTTAACTTAAAATCTGTTCCACTTTAGTATTTATTCACTTTGACCAACGATACCCTTTAAACCTGGGACTGAGAAAAATTACAAAGATATTTTGAGTTGTGGATTTGAGGTCGAATAATATAGAAAAACGACAATATCCTCGTCATAGCTGCTCAGATTAAATAACAAACTGAGCGCTACTAAGGTCGAGTTTTGTTTATATTCCTCCCAGAAACTGCAGTACACTCAGTTTGTAATAATGGGGTTTCCTGGTGTTATTTTTCTTACTTTTTTTTACTTGAGGTTTCCTGGTTTACCTTTCCTTGGTTGTACTTTGGGTTTCCTGGTGTACCTTTCCTTGGTTGTACTTGGGGTTTCCTGGTTTACCTTTCCTTGGTTGTACTTGGAATTTCCTGGTGTACCTTTCCTTGAATGTACTTCGGGTTTCCTGATTTAATTTTCCTTGGCTGTACTTGGGGTTTCCTGATTAAATTTTCTTGGTTGTACCTGGGGTTTCCTGGTGTAACTTTCCTTGGTTGGTTATTCTTGGGGTTTTCTGAGTTCATTTTTCTTGGTGTACTTTGGGTTTCCTGGTGTAATTTGTTCCTTAAATGTACTTTGGGTTTCCTGGTGTAATGTTCCTTGGATGTTCTTGGGGTTTCCTGATTTAATTTTCCTTGGCTTTACTTTGGGTTTCCTGGTTTACCTTTTCTTGGATGTACTTGGGGTTTCCTGGTGTAATGTTCCTTGGATGTACTTGAAGTTTCCTGGTGTAATGTTCCTTGGTTGTACTTTGGGTTTCCTGGTGTAATGTTCCTTGGATGTTCTTGAGGTTTCCTGGTGTAATGTTTCTTGGTTGTACTTGGGTTTCCTGGTGTAATGTACCTTGATTGTACTCGAGGTTTCCTGGTGTAATGTACCTTGATTGTACTTGGGGTTTCCTGGTGTAATGTTCCTTGGATGTACTTGGGGTTTCCTGGCGTAATATTCCTTGGTTGTACTTGGGGGTTCCTGGTGTAATGTTCCTTGGATGTACTTGAGGTTTCCTGGCGTTATGTTCAATGGTTGTACTTGGGGTTTCCTGGTTTACCTTTCCTTGGTTGTACTTGGAATTTCCTGGTGTACCTTTCCTTGAATGTACTTCGGGTTTCCTGATTTAATTTTCCTTGGCTGTACTTGGGGTTTCCTGATTAAATTTTCTTGGTTGTACCTGGGGTTTCCTGGTGTAACTTTCCTTGGTTGGTTATTCTTGGGGTTTTCTGAGTTCATTTTTCTTGGTGTACTTTGGGTTTCCTGGTGTAATTTGTTCCTTAAATGTACTTTGGGTTTCCTGGTACGGTGTAATGTTCCTTGGATGTACTTGAGGTTTCCTGATGTAATGTTCCTTGGTTGTACTTGAGGTTTCCTGGTGTAATGTACCTTGATTGTACTTGGGGTTTCCTGGTGTGTAGTTCCTTGGTTGTACTGGTAGAGAAGGAAGGAAGAAGCTTATATTGGATTAAATGAGAACATTAGTTTAGACAATAAATTTTCATTTTGCAACATTACAAAACAAAACTAATTGTTGTCTTTTATTGTCGACTAAAGAATATTGTAAATATATGTTTTGTGTCGCCTCGAGAAACAAATTTAGTATTCGTTCAGTGTTAGATTCTAAATTTATGTAAATAAAATCATCCAACTTTTTTATTCTTTTCTCTCCATATTTACTGGAATAAAATCCATTCAACAAATGAAATTGCTCCGAATTTTCCTGGATAAAGAAAAAAAAACGTTTTATTAAGTCAAGTTCCACAAAGTTTTGACGTAGAATTTAGATAAACAATAGATTTAAAAAATTATTTTCTTTCCTGAAATGGTAAAAATTAAAAAGTTTAAATAAAAGTAAAGAAAAGATATGGCCATCGAACTTTTTGATTCTTTTCTGAGTGTATTTGCAAACATAAATTTAGATAATTTCTACAATATCTTTCAAGGAACAAAAACATAGTTTTTGAGGATCCATATTGTGGGTTGTTTCTTGAATGCATTTATAGATAGAATTGTGCTAATATTTCTAATCATATCCTATCGCTAAGATACCATAATCAATAATCATGCTAGGATACCATATGCACCTAAATGCCAAAATACAGTATGTCGGTAAAATACAAAAATGCATTGAAAGCCTAGCCCTATAGTTCCATCCCGAAGAGCAATGGAATCTTTCTTTACAGAAGAATGGACTAAATCCAATGATTTTTTAATAACGCAGTTCTAACATCCTGAACATTGTTAAACAAATTTTATCATGATCGGGTAATAGTTAAGCCTCTGTGAGAAAAAAGTGTGAAGTGTTTGGTTTTTTAACACCTTAACAGAATAGATTCCACATATTTCAGGAATGTCCCAGTCTCCTGTAGATATAGATTCCTGTGAGACGGTTCATAAACCTATCTCGCACTTTACCCTGGAGAACTATGATGTATCCGTCCTAGTAGATATCATCAACAATGGACATACAGCTAAACTTATGCCCAGGCAAGGATTATATTAAAGGGACTGTAAATGTAAATTTAAGTGATTCTACATGTCCGATTTCAACGGTACCCTTGTTTAATCAAGAATGTATGAGCAATTCATCTTTATTTATTATTTTCAACTTTTGTATTTTCTATATAATAACTTGGCATTTCTTCTTCAGAAAAAAATGTGTAAGACAACGATTTCTTCCAAAAGTCTAGGGTGCCATTATAAATCGGTCATGTCCATAATGAATAAACTAGGCTTTAAGGCGCTTTGCCGCGCCCATCTTCTCTTTCAACTTTTAATTGTGGCTTTAACTATCATCTTCTCTTTGTACAGTATACAAATATAGAAAACTTTTAAACACAAATTTTTGAAATTTTGATCATTCATAAACCTTCCCTGGGGTCACGTGAGGTCCCACGCAAAACTTGGGCCCGATCGGTTTAGCCGTTTTGACGTTTATTGAATACAAATAAACAGACACCAAGCAAGACAAGCAAAATATATATAGAAGGTCACTTGAAATGACAACGAAAGACCCCGTCAAATACTAACATTTTTTAAAATTTTTCGAAACAATTATGCATGTGTATTGTGTGTCGTGGCAAGAAATAAAACTACTTATTTTTATAAGAATCATTTTTCCATCTTTGTTAAATAATCACGAAAGGGGGTTAGATAGGGTTCGGAATTAATATTTAAAGGGAGTGTTCGCGAAAAATGAAAGGGGGTATAGGCTTAATGCGATAAAAAAGCGCTTTTGATCGCGGCTAATCTTACTTCTATCTATTGCGTCTATAAGGAGAGAATTGTTATCAACGACTAATACCGAAGAACGCAGCGCCCATACAAATTCAGAAAGATTCAACATTCAACTCATTCAACTCGGATCGTAAAAAATCTATTTAATTCCAAACAAATCATTCAGATATTACAAATAGTAGTCATCGATTATTTTTCGACGCATTCGTAAATAGTTGATACTTCATAATAATTTGTATTTTTCATGATCTGAGAGTTACATTTATTCCTGTTTCGAGGATTTTCTATAATGAAGACGACATTTTCATATTTTCCAGGAATGTTCGAAAATCCAGCGCCAGCCAAAATTATTTAAAAAAACAAAATCAAAAATATTATGAAATATTAACTATATACAAATGCGTCGAAAAATAATCGATGACTGTTGTTTGTAATATCTGAATGATTTGTTTGGAATTAAATTGATTTGTTTACGATCCGAGTTGAATGTTGCATCTTTCTGAATTTGTATGGGTGCTGCGTTCTTCGGTGTCATTTTCTCCTAATAGACGCAACAGATAGAAGTAAGATTATTAGCGATCTAAAGCGCTTTTTTATCGCATTAAGCCTATACCCCCTTTCATTTTTCGCGAACACTCCCTTTAAGTTTACCTTAGTTCATAATTTTTGTAGAAAATTGTTATTTAATGATATCTTATGGCTGGATTATTTCAGCTTGTTTCATTTTAATTAAAAGATTATTTACAAATATCTTTTTCAAATTTTCTTTTTTGTTTGATTATTTTGTTTTAAGGAGCACTAATATCACGATGTCGGGTGGTGGTCTTTCCCACTCGTACACTTTTGCACAGGTTTGAATTTTGTTATTTGATAATTTGCTGCTTAATTTTTCATATTTAAATATATAACTATTTTAACATTTATCTGAAGGAGCGAATTAGCATCTTTTTCTTTATTCTGAAGGGTGAAAAATAACGCTAGGAAAAAAATTAAAGATATAATATATGCATTTTTGCAGAACCAGACTTCATTTTCTTAAACATATAATATAAACTCCTTTTGGAACAACCCATTTATGTCACCACTACTCTTTTTCTGTTTAAAATTGCATGGTCAAGAGCTTTCCAAAATTCGTAATATTTCAATTTTTTAAAAATTTATAAATAGGTATCCCCCGAATAGGAAAGGAGGTCTGAAGTGCTCCAAAAATGAAAGGATAAATTTGAAACAAATTGAAAGTTTAGAATTTTAGATGAAGCGTGGAAATCTTTCCTCCGTCCTTCCATACAAACTGCAAGTTAAAACAACATTTTTGAACAAAGCAGAAAACTTTTAATTTAATATTTATGAAGGTTATATCTTCAAATCCTTGCTCTGACTTCTGATAAAGATTAAATTAATCTGCAGATTAACAAAAGATCGAGATCAAGAACTGATCTCGATATTTACAATGCAAGAGTTCCCAGCCTAAATCTCTAAACGTTAACCAATAAGAAACAGTGCATGAGAAATGATCTTCATTGAACTCAACTATCACTCTTTAGGCACATTTTCACTGGGGGTTGGGGGCACCTAGTAAAAAAATTGGAAAAAGAGATGTGTCGGAAACCTCTCCAGATGATCAGATTTTAGAACACGAGGACCAGGAATCAAGAAGCTCCCAAAAGGTAGACATTTAAAGACATTTACATGACATATAGATAGGTTTATCAAGAAAGAATAAGGCCTACCAGAAATAATCTACAAACTAGCTATAAAAAAGACAATTTTTAATACAATAATAAGTTTAAACCTAAAATTATGATACTATGATGAAATAACGTTTTTTCTTTACTAGCGTTTTATCTGGTAGCATTTTATGTGATAACGTTTTATCGAAACTAGCCTTTTAGGGCGCTTCGCGGCAATTTTCTATTTGAACTTTTAATTGTGGCTTCATCTGTGAGTATCTTCTTTTTGTACAGTATAAAACAAAAACAAAAAAGTTTGCGGATTTCATATTTTTTTTTCGCGCATTTTCAAAAATTTACAAAGATAAAAAACTGGTAAACACAAATTTTTAGAATTTTGATCATTCATAAACCTTCCCTGGGGTCACGTCAGGTTCAACACAGAATTTGGGCCCGAGCAATTCAGCCGTTTTGACGTTTATTGGATACAAACAAACAAAGAGACAGACAAGCTAAATTTATAATACTAGGCTTTTAGGGCGCTTCGCGCCCATCTTCTATTTAAATTGTGAACATGTTCTTCTTGTTTTTATTTTAAAACAAAGAAGAAAAAAATTTTACGGATTTTTAAAAAAATTCGCTTCAAGAATTTAAATTTTTTTTACAAAATTAAAAACCTTTAAAACACATTTTTTTAATTTTTATCATTCATAAACCTTCCCTGTGGTCACGTGACGTCCGGCCACAAAAATTTGGGCCCGATCGGTTCAGCCGTTTTGACGTTTATTGGATACAAACAAACAAACACCCAGACAGACAAACAGACAGACTAGCTAAATTTACATATAGAAGATACTAGACAACGTTTGATGAGTTTAGCGTTATTCTAGGTAAACCTACCGGAACACTTAAAATCTGATGAATTAAAGGTTAAACAAATAGTGTTTTGTCACAAACTCTGATTTTTACTAAACCCAGTATCTTTGCAACCCGATGTTGTAGACCTGAAATATTTCAAACTTTGAATTCTTATAGATAAAATAGTATAAACTTGAAATATCAAAGGTTTACACCATCCGGTAACAAAATATAGAGATTAGATAAAGATATAAAAATGCAAATAAGATATTTAAAATGTGCACATTGCCAATTCGAAATTTCATCCAAATGACAAAAAAAAATTAACTGGGTTTACAGAATTCATTGATATTATCCAGGAGAATCTTAAACCAGTTGAACCTGTTCTGAAGAAGGAAGATAAGAAGGTTGAGAATGAGGAGCCTGCTCCTGGTCCCGAGGTTTCTGATTCTGGGTATGGATCGGAGCATCGTGTCAATGGTATCGGATATCCTCTAGAGGTTCATCTAGTTCATTACAACACTAAATATAAAGGAAATTTTAGTCAAATCATTCATTTTTAACTTGGAAACCATGCAACCCTACGCCCTGTGTCTTTAAGCCAAAAGTTTTGAAGAAGGTTGACTAATTTGAAATAAAGGTTCGGAACATGTTCAGTACTTTTTCGAGCCCATTTGCTCATAGAATATCATATAATATACAATGAACTCAGTTTCGGTGTGTGTACAAATGTATTGTATGATGATTGCTTGAAAACTAACGCAAATAAAACATGAAATTGAACCCAGTATTAGTCTTAGTCTTAGTCTTAGTCTCAGTCTAAGATATAATTAAGTAAAGAAGAAATGGAGCGAGGTAAATTAATTTTTTAGTTTGAAATATGTCTCAAAAACATAGCATTTAAACAAACCGCTAAAATAGTTTGTATTCCATTTAAACCAAGTTCATTGTACATTATAGAATTTGGCGTGTTCTAGAGTACAAATTCTCTATTGGCCACCCCAAGGAGTATGGAATAGAAGGGAGATACAACTGACGCGGCCCGCCCTACCATATGATTATACATGCTTTGCAGACGCGTACTCCAGTTGTATAAGAAATATTCAGAATAGGTTATTGTATACGCGGTAATTGTACATCAGAAAAATATGTATTATTCAAATGAAGTACCGTCTGCGAAGCATGTATAATCATATGTCAGGACGGGCCACGTCAGGTTTATTATCTCCCTTCTATTCTATACTCCTTGGCCCACCCTTGTTCGTGTCAATATTTCTATGAGGAGGATTAAGAAAACACAGCATCATGTGTTACTTTGTCAAAAAAAAAAGGGGTATCAAAATATTAACAATTCCTTTGAGAAGAAAAGTTGCAAAGGAATCAAATTTTCTTATCCTTATATCTTTGCAACCTGATGGTGTAAACCTTTGATATTTCAAACTATTTTGAATTATGTAAGGTCTAAACGAAATTGGTTTGCAAGGATATAGGGGTTAGAAAAGCAGAGTTTGAGGCAAAGACTCCAGTAATAGTTATATAAAAAATACCTTTAGCATTCAAATAAATATGAAAAATTATTCTTTTCTTTATTTAACTTTTTAGTCTGAACAATAATGATAAGAAATGATATTTATTGTTCGAAACTGTTTTGAAATAAAACCAAATCAAATTATCTTCCTGTGCAAAAGAAAATAGAAAATATACTGTCGAAAAGGAGAAATGCTTAAAGGATATTTTCATATTTATGTCAAGTTTTTAAAATATTTGACTGCACTGGTTTTATGAAATTTTTGGAGATAAATTTATTACACACTTTCATTGAAGGTCATATATTATAGTAAAAACCCTAAGGCCTAAAAGTTGTATTATAATATATGTTTCTTATTAAGAATAGATTTATTGTGATGTATTCTTTTAAGAATATGTATGCTGTGTTGTACTCCTTTTAGAGTGTTTTTTTGTGATGTATTCCTTTAACCCTTTAAAGGCTGGGGGGTCTGAATCTGTGTATAGCCGGGGGGGGGGGCGTCCTCCTCCCCTAGAAAAAGGCCTTATTGAACAGTTATAAGGTTGAAATCCATGTTCTTAGCCTAATTTTTCCAGGCCAGCTAGTTGAAAAAAAATCAGACCGATAACGTCAATAGCTTGTGTGTTCTACATGGGAGGGTTGAAAAAAATGCCAAAAAAAGGGTCAACAAATTTGTTTTTGTTTATTTATTACATTGATTTCTCAAGGGTATTTCAAAAATATAATTTTTAGATCTGTAGTGTTAGTCACAAATGTTATGCGCTATTTAAGATTTTTTTACACAGACAGGATTTTTACCCTATGCATTAAAAAAATTTGCAAAAAATCCATTGAATGTTTATCTAGTGTAGTCTTCTAGGAATGGTTTATTGTCATGTATCCCTTTACAAATAGGTTTATTGTGATGTATTACTTTAACCCTATTCCTGCTGGGGGGGGGGGGGTCAATTTGACCCCCCCCTGTAGTTTTTTTTACATAGCTCAAAAAGTATTGGTCTGAGGCTGTTAAAATTTTCTGACTTTTCCTACATACCCAAAGCCTTCCCTTTAGGCCTAAAAATACTAACTGCCTGAGTCCTCAGGCACACTGCCTGAATGACTGCTTTTTCCTGTAACAAACAAAATCTTTGTTTTGACCCACTTTCACTTGTCAGATTTTGATAAAATTTAGCTTTTTGGAAAGCTTTTGACTTAAGGAAACGAATTGCACAAGTTTTGCGATAAAAAATTGCAAATTTTTTTGCAAACAACCTGTCAAAGGAAATTTGCACATTTTCAGTTTTTCTTGATTAAAAATCAGGTTATTTAAAATTTTGCATATTTGAAATGGCATGGTCAAGGGCTTTTCAAAAATGTATAATTTTTCATTTTTTGGACAAATTTTTTTTTGGCAAACATTTTTACTACATAAATGGATTTTACGATAAAAAATTAAATTTTTGCAAATTTGCAAATTTTTTTGCAGATTCTAGAAGTAGAGCACAAGAGCTTTCCAATGATGTATCATTTGTCATATTTGGACATCAAACATGGGATTTAGTATATCCTGGTTTTCAAGCACCCCAGCAGAGATAGGGTTAAGAATAGGTTTATTGTGATGTATCCCTGTAAGAATAGGTTTATTGTGATGTATTCATTTAAGAATGGTTTATTGTGAATATCCCTTTCAGAATGGTTTTGTTATGATGTTTTACTTTAAGAATAGGTTTATTGTGATGTATTACTTTAAGAATAGTGATTGATTTTAAGTAATCCTTTAAGAATGGTTTATTGTGATGTTTTCCTTTAAGAATGGTTTTTGTGATGTATCCCTTTAAGAATGGTTTGTTGTGAATATCCTTTTAAGACTGGTTTATTGTGCTGTATCCCTTTAAGACTGGTTTATTGTGCTGTATCCCTTTAAGACTGGTTTATTGTGATGTATCCCTTTTAAGAATGGTTTATTATGAATATCCCTTTAAGACTGGTTTATTGTGCTGTATCCCTTTAAGACTGGTTTATTGTGCTGTATCCCTTTAATAATGGTTTATTGTGCTGTATCCCTTTAAAAATGGTTTATTGTGATGTATCCCTTTAAGACTGGTTTATTGTGCTGTATCCCTTTAAGAACTGTTTTAAAGAATGATTTGTCTGACTGCCTGGTTTAGATATAAGTGTTGCTGTACAATACCAGGACGGATTAGCAGTACTAGGAAGCCACTAGGATAATTCATAACATAGTAGTATGTACATCACATATTTGAGCACTGTACACGTAATTTCAAGGGATCCTACATGCAAAGATGACAATGCCCGATTTACAATGATACCCAATTAAAAGCTTTGTCTGATATATTATGAATTAGATGGCACAGGTTTTGTATCTTCACACTGTTTATTTCATGTGCGAAAGTGACTTGCGCATTTCTTGCTTAAGAAACAATGTAGAAAGTCACAAAAAAAACACTTTTCGAGTTAGAAAAACGACGCTTTCTTCCATACTTTTGATCTGATTAATGGGTACAAGGGTACCGTTGTAAATGGTGCATTGCCTTCTCTGATGGAGGATCACTTAAAAGTACTACTACAGTTCCTATAAAAGCACATTTGAGAAAAGTTGTTTAGTTTCTTATTTCCTAAATTTTTTCCATCAAATATATTTTTCGTTCCATCAAACCTTTTCCCGTTCATTATTCGTTAATTCTCTTTTTACTCTCCCATCAGCCATGCACCGTTTCCCATCAATTATGTCCTTTCAGAGAGCCCATCAGAAAACCTCTTCCCATACGATATTTCCCTTAACACCCTTCTATCTTTCTTCCCTGGGACTCCTATGGTGTTCTGAAGACAGATGGCGTCAAACAGCAAACTACATAAAGTAAATTGAACTTAAGATTAAAATCATAACTCGATCATTATACAGACGAACAACATAGTTTTGAATTTATATGCAACGGAGTGAACTTCTATTCTAATGCGTGTGTGTAAAATCAAAATGAAAAGGTCGCAAGGACAGACCAGCAATGTTGCATTAAATGTCTGTTCAGTGTGAGATATTGAATTGTAACATCATTATGTCTAATTTTGACCTTACTCCGGCGGAAACTTGACATAGAAATATCCAGGTCCCTAAAAAATCCCCCCAACTTGACATAAAAATATCCAATGTGTCTTGTTTATCAGGAGTAATGTTTCATATATCGGATACAGAGAACCAGGATATTCAACCAATATTGGAAATATTACCAACCATCACCAAACCACAGAGCCAGAATACTCTCAGGTTAAACAAGGCAAACCCAGCACAGTGGACTATAAAGGCCTAATTGACATACTCCACTAGCTTAGTTTAATCTAGTGCCAGAACATGAAAGCATAAGCAATTTCAACAGTTGTCGTTGTTTTGTCAATACAATGAAGACGTCTTACGGTTTTAATTTTTATTTCCACCAAGCGTTTACACAGCAGGGATACAAGAAAACATGGTAACAAAGAGAAGCTGTCAATGTCTTGACAGATATAGCAATGACAAAGATTTGACAAGAAATGTATAAAATTGTTCAAAGATCAACTGATTCTACTATTTGAAATTCCCTGTAATTCTAAAATGTAAAATGAAATAATTCAAAGGAACTGATTACTCTGCTTAAACTCTAATGTTTTATTATTTTTTTTGCAATCGGATGTTGTGAAATTTTGAAATACCATAATTCATGGTTTGATAAATCAAAAGTCAACAACAACATAATGATTTATGAAAGCTATTTATTTGATCAAAAAGTCAGTTCCTGAAAAAGCGGATGTTTTTGGAGTCGCGTATTTAGAACTGTCCTTTTGGCCTGAAGATAGCCACAGCCAGATTTGATGCAAATTGGTCAGATATTTAGCGCAGGCAGTTGACAAGTTATAAAGTATAAACCTTTTCAAACATAGACTTTATTTCAAGTGACATTCTATTTACAGAGTGGCATGTCCAATTCACAACGGTACCCTATTAACCTTTTCAGTTATGTATTTTCTCTATATAAATGATTTGTAGATTTGATCTGTAGAGACCCTACAGGATATTGGCAATTGAACATGCCACCTTTTTACTTTTTTTTAATGGCATGGGTTATTTGAAATTACATTAATTGTTCCTTTGAATTCATATATTTACTGATCTAGAGGTATTCAGTCTTTGACACAAACTCTGATTTTTTAATTTATTTATCTTTGCATTTGCAACCAAATGTCGTACAACTTGGATATGTATGATATCTATGAATTCTGTTAAATAAAAAATCTAAGTTTGAAATATCAAGGTTTACACCACCAGTTTACAAAGATGTAAGAATTAGAAAAATTGATTTTGTGGCAAAGACTTATTTGTTTGTATAACGTGTCCATTAAATATAGGATTTAAGTTTTGACGTCAATATTGTCTTTGTTCCACACGGCATTTATCTTAAATGCAATTTTAGCAGTATTACAGTTAGAACATTACAATGAAGACGACTTTCCTACCTACGTTTTCATTTCTAATCAGTTTTTTATTGAAAGTTTAGAAGTTTACACAAAGAGGCTGTTAATTTGTTTTCATTATGATGTGTTCCTAGCTGTTTGAGACACTATTGTTTCAGTAGATAATGTAGTAGTAATTGGATAATGAGATAGATAGAAAGATAGATGTTACCGCCACACTATTTCTCTTGGTTCAGAATAGACACCAAACACATGACTGAACCCTGATTTGATCAGGCGCTAATGGAATCGGCAAACAAGTGTGGAAAGTTTGGTAGAAATCCAAATTTAAATCGAAAGTCGTCTTTATTGTATTGATATATACGACGACTGTAGTATCCCATTAACATTTCTGAAATATTGTCTGAATATTTCATAACTTCAAAATTGACGTAAAGGAATTGAGTTTTTGCCACAAACTCAAATTATTTAACCCCCATATCTTTGGGGTAAACCTACGATATTTCAAACTTAGACGTTTTTGATCGAACAGAGTTGATGTTTTGTAAATATTAAGGTGTAATACATCGGGTTTCAGAGATATGAGGATTAGAAAATCAGAGTTTGTAGCAAAAACTCAATTCCTCTGTACAGATTCACTTCACAATTTATAAAAAAAATTTAATTGTCCAGCTTCTTAACATCTCAGTCAATTTTGAAGGTAAACCACATTTTATAATACTTCCATTCTTATTTTGATTCAATTTTCGGCCTTTGGTAACTTTTAGAATCAAAGACGATTTAGAAGTCGTCTCTTAATTCCCATGTGTATTAGGACACCCTGGATTTACTCTGATTTTGTGAACATCTGAAACCAAAGTTTTAGATCTTTTATTCTAGAAGAGAACAAACTTTCATCATATTAAACCGAAGGAAATGCATTTTATTGGGGATTAATTGGATTGGATTTTAGTAGAGTTAGAATAGGATTAAAAAGGACTTAGAAATGGATTATAAATACAAATATAAATTAAAATTACATAAATATAATGTATATTATTAATAAGGCTTTATTCTTCCAAATTAATGGCATAAAGATCAGCTGCAGCTGCAGCTAGATGGGTATTTGTAATCTTGTTGTTTATACATAGTTAGGGTTTATATACAGTTTAATATAGATTATCTATTATCATCAGGTTTCCCTTCTCTATGGATAAACTTCTACCCGGAGACATTTCTAAATTCTACAGATACTCCGGTAGTCTAACTACTCCAGGATGTTATGAGGTAAATATACTTTCGGAGTGTAACTACTCCAGGATTTTATGAGGTAAATATACTCCGGGAGTCTAACTACTCCAGGATGTTATGAGGTAAATATACTCCGGTAGTCTAACTACTCCAAAATGTTATGAGGTAAATATACTCCGGGAGTCTAACTACTCCAGGATGCTATGAGGTAAATATACTCCGGGAGTCTAATTACTCCAGGATGCTATGAGGTAAATATACTCTGGGAGTGTAACTACTCCGGGATGCTATGAAGTAAATATACTCCGGGAGTCTAACTACTCCAGGATGCTATGAGGTAAATATACTCTGGGAGTGTAACTACTCCAGGATGCTATGAGGTAAATATACTCCGGGAGTCTAACTACTCCAGGATGCTATGAGGTAAATATACTCCGGGAGTCTAACTACTCCAGGATGCTATAGAGGTAAGTTTTCCTACTTCTATCAGTTTATTCTATTTCTCCTAGCTCTCTTAGTTCTCCTACTTCTCTAAGTTCTTCTAGCTTTTATAAGTTTTCTCCTGGTTCTCTGTGTCCTTCCGATTCTCCTTGTTCTCCTTATAGTTCTCTTGGTTCTCTATGCTCTCCTGGTTCTCTTGGTTCTCCTTGGTAGCTGGTACTCCAGGTTCTGCTGGTTTTGCTGGTCTTCCTGGATCTTCTTTTTCTCCTGGTTCTCTAGGTTCTCCAGGTTCTTCATGGTTTTCTGGATTAGTAACCTAATCTGTATCTATATTTTGATATCAAGGTTGTGACCTGGTCGGTTTTCTTTGAGAGTATTCCCATATCTGAACCACAGCTCAAGGTAAAACAAACAAACCTAGGAATATATTCAGTATCACTTCAATATTTTTGAGATTTTGGGGAATAACACTCGAGCTGATATCTATACCGAGATAAGTGCAAATACCATAATTGTAAAGTTTAAAGTCGACTCTAAACCCATCTAACTTTAACTCGCAATATTGAATTTACAGAGTGTCTCACTTAAAATGAGAGTTAGAGACCACTAAAAGGTCGTCTTTTATCCATGATAGCTATATTCGGACAAAGGTTGTACAGTGCACAATTTATAAGCTTCTCAGTGGGAATACAATTTTATGAAACACTATTTAGAAGTTTAACTTTTTGTAAAAAGGAAATGAGTTTTTACAACAAACTTTGATATTCTACAGCCCTATGTCTTTGCAACCAAATTTTGTAGACCCTAGATATTTCAAGCTATGAATTTTGTAAGATCAAATCATCTGATTTTGTAAATATGAAGAGGTATACTCCATCAGGTTGGAAAGATGAAGGAATAAGAAAAATTTGAGTTTGTGGCTTTCAAAGACGAAAGAGGATTTTTAAGTCGTCTCTCAACTGTGTTTAGGGGACACCCTGTAGCTGAGAATCGAAAGGCAGCAAAGCTGTGAAAACTTGTTCTTTCTTCATTAGATTTAAAGTTTACACTTATAAAACAAATAAAATAACAGAAAATGTAATACGGAAATTCAAGAGAGGTTCGGGAAAGTAAACACCCGAGTTTCCTTGTTTGGTTGTATATTAGAAAATGATAGAATAGTCCATATCTAACTCAAAACTTTATATCCTTGTTATACAAACATAAATCTTTGTAACAGCGAATAATACTATTTACTATAACAGGATTACCAGTATGCAGTGTTGTGGACAAATTCTTTAGGATTCATTTGAGACATATTACACTTTTTAAAGATCTGTAAATCCTGAGTTTCAGCGCAAAGTCGACGTTCAAAATCGTACTTTTGGGTGAATACCTTTTTCAGAATTGTTTCTTTTCAATTATTAAATAACGACGATAAAAATGTACACACACACACTGTACCTTTAAGGTTGAATTACACCTTCTGCCTTTTTAATGATTTGGCAAAGAAAGAAACAAGATTAAAGTTGCAGATAATCATAAATATGTGGAAACAGAGCGTTTGAATTACGTACAGTCGTCTCTGACGTCTCCTCCTTTGTGGGTAACCCTGTATGTCCCATGAATATATTAAAAAAACAGTCTGAGCCTGCCTGAGCCTGCAGAAAAATGTTTACGGGTAGATTGTTCCAGATCAAATACATACATTGAATAATCGTTCCGTAAACTTTACAGAGCTGCGTGTGAAAAAGGTTTACGGGAAGATTGTTCCAGATCAAATACATACATTGAATAATCGTTCCGTAAACTTTACAGAGCTGCGTGTGAAAAAGGTTTACGGGAAGATTGTTCCAGATCAATTACATACATTGAATAATCGTCCCGTAAACTTTACAGAGCTGCGTGTGAAAAAGGTTTACGGGAAGATTGTTCCAGATCAATTCCATACATTGAATAATCGTTCCGTAAACTTTACTGAGCTGTGTGTAACCTGCTAAAGGTTTATGGGTAGTTTGCTCCGGATCAATTCCATACATTGAATAATCGTCCCGTAAAATTTTTTCAAAATGTCCCACCAAGCTCTGTGTATTATCTAAGGGGTAAATTAATTTAAAAATCATTTAAGAAAGGTCCCGCGTTAATTTACAAGAGCTTTTAATACTTCATCGTCATTGCCTGTAAATACTTTATTCCGGAAAACTTGTATATTTTTTACCGTGCATAGTGCTAGATGCCCCGACTATGGTTATGTTTAATGCACTTTGCTAGATGCCCCGATTATGGTAATGATAAATGCACTGTGCTAGATGCCCCGACTATGGTAATGTTTAATGCAATGTGTTAAGTGCCAAATTAAAGTAATGTTTAATGCACTGTGCTAGATGCCCCGACTATGGTAATGTTTAATGCACTGTGCTAGATGCCCTGATTATGGTAATGTTTAATGCACTGTGCTAGATGCCCCGACTATGGTAATGTTTAATGCAATGTGTTAATTGCCCAACAATAGTAATGTTTAATGCAATGTGCTAGATGCCCCGACTATGGTAATGTTTAATGCACTGTGCTAGATATTCCGTGAGCTGGTGAACTTGGAAGGAAAAAGAATGGTGAATAATCATCGTCCTGTCCAACCCATCAATTCGAGAACTATTTTCAGATCAACAAAGGAACGACATTTTTAATAATTTTATTTTCAATATTTTTTGAATTCTTGAATGGGGTGTCGACATAATTTTGAATTGTTAAAATCCTCAATATTCTATTTAAAAGTTGCAGTTGCATATTTATGCAGCAAAGAAGCAAGAAAAACGACAAAATCTTCCTCAATTATTTCTCAGATAAAAGTTTAAATTGCACCTTCCTGATATATTTCCCTCGAGGGGTATGATTGATTTGGCGTACCGTCCCGGTTTGCCTTACATAGTCTGTACTTGTACTGTACAGTGTACACCGTACAGCATGCTTTAGCTGGTTAAAAGTTGACCCGGTACTTGAAATGAACCAGAGATTACAGTTGTTGTGAATTAGAGACTAGACCTCTCTAAATGGAGGATCACTTGAATTTACATCGATATTCTTTTTCACTTTAATATAATTTAACAAAGTAAATAGAAATATGGTTGTACAGACAGACCGGAAGTGCACAGGAGCTAAGCGGAAGGAGATTAAGATTGACTCCTCTAAGGATTTAATTACGTTTGCCATGACATCAGTTACCTCTATCACGGCAATCTTTGCTACCTTTGGAGCTGCTACTTTAGAGCTGGCATTTTCTAGGTTAGTGTTCTTAGAAAATATTCTAGGCTAGTGTTCGTAGAAAATATTCTAGGTTAGGGTTCTTAGAAAATATTCTAGGTTAGTGTTCGTAGAAAATAGAAAAAATGATTATTTTATTCTACATTCCTTTATGCATTATAGAAGTACAAACACTTTAAAAATGGAAATGAATTGATTATTTGCCATAGACTCCCTATATCTTTGCATCTCTTGCAATCCTGATGATGAAAACCTTTGATATGTCAAACTTAGATTATTTAAAACTAAAGAATTCATAACTTTTAAAAGGGATTAGAAAATCAGATGTGTATCAAAAAATCAATTGCTTTATTATATTGTTTTATCAAAAAGTTTTCATCTGACATTTAAAATTATCGATGTTCCACTAAACCAGTAAAACATGAAAAATGTAGTTCAAAATCATTATTTCCATTTAAATAAGGTTTGAAAACGTTATTCTTCATATTGTCTCATTCAAACAATTTCAAGTTTGAAGAGTTACAAATTAGGAATTAAAACTTTTAAATCTTGAATTTGGAAAGGGATAAAGAAAGCTCGAGCTGGTTGAGCTAGTTATTTAACTAAAAATAGATTAAAAATAGAATATTGTTCTTCTGCTTACAGTGCTAATATAGCTTAGTGGATTCTGTTGTAAGTAATGATCTGATAACTCGCCTCAAACTCCAATTTTTATAATCCGTACATCTTTGCAACCTGATATTTCAAACTATGAATCCTTATGGATCAAAAGTTTAATAAATATCAACTATGTTGCAAAGATAATACTCTAGGTCTAAAAAAATATAGGTTTGATTACTTTAGGTTTAGGAAATATAATAGTTCCAATACTTTAGGTCTAAAGTAGTATGTAGTTCTGATCGCTATAATTTTAGGATATATATAGTTCCGATTACTATAGGTTTAGGAAATATAATAGTTCCAATACTTCAGGTCTAAAGTAGTATGTAGTTCTGATCGCTATAATTTTAGGATATATATAGTTCCGATTACTATAGGTTTAGGAAATGTAAAGTTCTGATTACTCCAGGTCTAGGATGTAGAGTTCTGATTACTCTAGGTCTAGGAAGTAGAGTTCTGATTACGCTAGATCTAGGAAGTAAAGTTCTGATTACTCCAGGTCTAGGAAGTATAGTTCTAATTACTCTAGGTCTAGGAAGTATAGTTCTGATTACTCTAGGTCTAGGAAGTAGAGTTCTGATTACGCTAGATCTAGGAAGTAAAGTTCTGATTACTCCAGGTCTAGGAAGTATAGTTCTGATTACTCTAGGTCTAGGAAGTATAGTTCTAATTACTCTAGGTCTAGGAAGTACAGTTCTGATTACTATAGGTCTATAGTAAAAGTATAAAATTCTGATTACTCTAGGTCTAGGAAGTATAGTTCTGATTACTTAAGGTATAAGAAAATTATAAAGTTCTGATTACATTTGGTCTGAGAAAGATATAGTTCTGATTACATCTGGTCTAAGAAAGATATAGTTCTGATTACTCTAGGTCTAGGAAGTATATATAGTTCTGATTACTCTAGGTTTAGGAAGTAAATAGTTCTGATTACTTTAGGTCTAAAAAAGACATAGTTCTTGGAAAGTATGTCCTGTGTTTACTGGCAAGCTCTCTGTCCTACTGGTTTACAGGTTTAACATATCTAATTTATTTAATATTTTTAAGCTGATATACAATAATAATGTACAATAAAGAAATGGTAATGCAAAAACCGTATCATTTTTAGTAATTGATATTATAATATTTTTGCAAAACTAAATATGTAGAAAACATCAATAACCTTTGCATGAGTAAAACTTTGAATTGTATTTTTGCTTCAAGATTAGAATATTTCCATACAGCAGATATGAATACAGATTTAATGGTGTATAATCTAATACATTTACATAATATTGTTAGAATCATCATGGTTTTATCTCTTTAAGGTTAAATTATTGTTAATTCGATAAATGGCAGAATTAAAGAAACAAATGCTGGAAAATGATTTCAACTTTTTTCCACTACATTAGTTAAAAATAAGTTTTCTATTTTACAGGATTTGGTATAGCGTAGGGTAACAGTAATCTATGTTACAGGGTTTGGTATAGCGTGGGGTAACAATATTCTATGTTACAGGGTTTGGTATAGCGTGGGGTAACAGTATTCTATGTTACAGGGTTTGGTATAGCGTGGGGTAACAGTGCTGCTGGAGTTACTGGAACAACTTTTTTTGCAACAACAGGAAAGAAACGTTAAAATATGTATAGTATATACACTAGACAGTGAGAACCAGAAAAATCCGGAATAGTTAAGCGACATATAGACTTTTAGTTATTACTATAGTCGTCTTCCAAATCCCGAGTTTTCTGGTTCTCACCGTATGTTAGTTATATTGGATAATACTCTAATATCTTACTTTTTTCTGAACTAAAACATCTACTAGTTCTAGTTTCTGTCGCTTCATTTTAAATCTATTAGAAACAATTTGCTATTTCCTTTCTAAGCTTTGAAAATCCAAGAGTTAAGAACAGGTTCTTTGTAGACTGTTAGTATTTTTACATCGATCTGGTTTCTAGAATATATTTCATTTAGAGCAAAGAATTATAATGTAAAGATAGTTATTTCAGAGGTGTACAAATTGTTTGTACTGCAGTGTACTGTCTCTGGGCTCTAAAGTAAACACAAGACGGATGTCACAGCCTGACATGAGATCCATTATTTACATAAAAAATCAATGAAATATTCTGGTCATAAGAAACTATTATGTAAATGTTTAAAATTTTCATAATTAATTGTTTTTATCCTCCTTGGATACTAGATGAACACTGATGCATCTATTCTTGTTTACAAATACCGCCCAGAGATAATTGGTTTCAATATGTACACAACCGCAAATAGCTTTCCTTACCTTATTACCTTGATTTAGAGTAAAGATCTTATTTTAAAACATTTGACGATAAAACGAAATATTGGCGTTTAACGAGGTCTAACTAAATGCTTAGAAATTCGTATTTTAGCTAGATACGGATATCATATATATGTAAAGTAGTAATCTCTTTTTGTCTGTTTGTTTGTTTGTATGTCCGGTTCAAACTCAGAAACACATTGACCGATTTGCTTCCGATAACTGGGTTTCATAGCTAGTTGTTTAATATGATAATACTAACTTTTGATCCCAGCGTTGCATCATAGTTACTCCCGCCGTTTACCCGCACTTTGTCGATTTTACCGGGCAACTAAGTTTTTGCTATTAAAGTCGATATTAAGACTCTCAAAACCAAGCTAAGAACATTCCCATGGTTCTCACGGGTACCCCAAGCAAACTTTGAGGCAAATTGGATATGGGGTTTATGAGTTTTGATCGGACATACAAACAGACCAACAGAGATTACAACTTTATATATATATATATATATATATATTATATAACAATGTATTTTCTCCAGGAAATTCTCATCAAATTCTAAATGTTGTGAAACCTGGGCCAAGTTTGAGAATTTAATTCAATTTTCCGTCTTATGAAATATTCTTTGAGGTCTTAACTCTTAAGACAAACTTGAAAGCTTCATGCCCGACCTTCAATTTAATGTTGATTTTTTAAATATTTGTTCATGATAATTTTACCAATCTTTGCATTTGGACTGCAGTCAACTATCATTGGAAACTTTGTTAATTTTGTTTAAAGGGATCAAAAACGACATTACATCCATTTGTTGGAAAATAAAGACATCTAAGCCAATCTTTATGAAGTTTATATAGGCAAAGAATTACACGAAGGAATTACTAATTTTGCCAGAAACCCTTGTTTAAAGAAAATTTTCTGAATTTGATCAATTATTTTCCTTCGCTTATAGGAAAGATTAAATATAAATTAAGATTATACAGTCAAATGGCAAATCCTGTATATGGTTAATTTGAGAGACAGTATCGATGATTTTGATCATTAATTACATATTCAGCTGCGTATAAAGATTGGCTTATGTAGTTGTGTTTCTTAATCCAAAAGTTATGTTCTTATGATTTAAAATTGTATGTTGATGATGGACCAATCCTCCTAGAGTTAATAAAGTAGATTTAAGTTCCACATTTTATTAAAATATATTTCGGTCTGGCCCAACCTTCGTCAGTTCTAACGATAAAAAAAAAACATCAAAATGATAGGCCAAACCTCATAGAGTTAGTAAAGGAGGTGTAAGTTCCACATTTTATTAAAAATATATTTCAGTCTGGGTTGACGTTTGTCAGTTCTAACGATATAATAACCGTCAAAATGAGTATTAAAAAAAGGTTAAAAACCACAAGAAAATAAACAAAAAAGATTTTAAAAACAGGGCAGTTGGAGATGAATAAAAGGAAACTATAACTCAGATCATGATATTGATGTGTAGTATCAAATATGTGAACAACCCCTGTAATCTCTATATAAATTTGGCTTGTCTGTATCTAACAAGCGTCAAAACCGATCGAGCCAACATTCTTGCAGCAACTCACATGACCCCATGGAAAGGTTTATAAATGGTTAAAGATAAAAAATGTTTAATATTTTTGACCCTGCACAAATTTAAGCAGAAAAATCCCTGAAAAAAAGTAGTTTTATTAACAAACGATGAATAAAAATTAGAGTTAAAATTTCTTAATACAGTAAGATCCACGTATAATGACAATTACTAAATGGCTTTCAATAAAAAATACAGAATATAACAATTTCTCTACTTTTAATCTTTTCTATACTACATAGACATTTATGTTATAACAATAAGCTTTATTTTGTTATGAATTTATATATGAATGATCTTATAGAAGATATTTAATGTGCCCTCCTTTCTTCTTAGATTAGTGCGCATTCTGGTGTGACATGCCATCGTCCATGTTCTGAGTAAATTCCTCACAAATATAGTAAAAAAATGGGTGATTTAGATAAAACTTGAGCCGAAATGCCTTCCTTAGTACCAAGGTCCCATTCTTCAGTTTATCTGTACTTCCTGATCACAAAGGTGTGTTCTTCTAAAAGAAATGTGTATTCTTTTTGAACAGTCTCACTTCACCGCCAAGTCCAGGCAAAGTTTAAAGTTGTGGAAGAACTAAATATACAAATGTCTAGATGTTGGCAAGCTGGAAATGCAATTTCGCGGATTTTAAAGTAAATTCATGGATTTAAAAGTAAATTCATGGATTTAAAAGTAAGTTTTGTGGATTTTGAGCCAAATTATAATTGTCAGACTAAGTGGATCATACTGTAGAAAAGGGGGGGCATGAAGCGCCATTAATGTCTAGTATAAAAAATAAAACATGTAAATATTTAGATCCTGAGGGGGTATATCAAATCTTGAGTGAGCTTGTGTATCCTATATTCACTTCCTTCCTTTTTCTTCTAGCTCTCAGGTAAATATAGATTTATAAAGAAAACAACAGTAATATTATAAACATCCGGTTTTTCCTTTTTTCCCTTGGATTTATCAAATAAGGTGACCTCTACCAAAACTGTAAGTAGGGGTAAAACTATTCCGTCGAATAAGTTAAATCCTTTCTTTTGCACCAGCAAAACATGTTGAGTATCTAGTAAATTATAATTTTAAATATTAAAACTCATGAAATATTTAACCAATTAAATAAACATAGATCATTATAGCTGGAGTGCCAGGCGTTGCCAAGGTTTATTTTATTATTCATAGTCATAGTTAATCCCGCCGTTGGACCACGCTTGGTATTAAATCATAATTTTAGCTGAAATACCTGGCGATGCCCGTGGAATTCCAAACATTTCAAAAAATAGTAAATGTCACCCTTGAGGTTCCCATTTTTCCTTCAAGATGGATATTTTTAAACCAATTCTTAATTTTAAAAAACCGATTTGAAATGAGTCTCTAGACCCTTATTCCCCGTTTATTTCGGGACACCCTGGATATCTATTATTTGTCACCCGTCTATTCTGGGACACCCTGTATATATCAATTATCTATATATTTCTTTAGTACGGAACGGGTGACAACAAGATATCTTGTTTGTACAACTGTGCTTATATCAGGTCATTATTTAATTATGGAAGCAGAAGTATATGTTTTGGAACCTCGTGCCGTAGATGTAATAGTCAAAGTTTAAAATATCCAAGGTTTATAGGAAATATAAAATTTAATTTTCCTACACATCTATAAATAATGTTTCCGTCTTGTACAAAATAATTTTGGGCATTTTCCATCCCTCTTTATATTTGTTGCAACATATACCACCAAAAGAAAATGTTTTATTCATTCTTACATATCATTCGTGTTTGAAATGTTTCCAAGAAAATATAATGTTACCGGGAGAAAATAAACTTTTTATAATCTACATAAATATCATAAAGGAACTGAGTTTTTGCCACTAACTAAAATTTTCTAATCCCTATATCTCTGCGACCCTTTGATATTTCAAACTTTGATATTTTGATCTAACATAATTCATAGTTTGAAATATCTAAAGTCTCATAGACATTTTATTAAAAACTTATAGGGATTAGAAAATCAGAGTTTGTGGCAAAGACTCAAATCCTTTTTACTTTTTACTTTTTACCATAATATTGACTAAATATAATTTGTACACCTTGTATGTATATATACAGATAATTGTGAGCAACAATAAATATTATAAGAAACAGTTGCTGGTTTTATGTTCTCTGCTATAAATATATGCGGCTGGAGTTAGACATATTCCAACTCAAAACCATTTCAATCTGACTCAAAATGGATGAAATAACAAGTGCTTTTTTCCGTCCTGTCCTGGGCTAGCACTTCTAGAAACGACGATCTCTCCGATACTATCATTCAAGAATTCAAAACAAAAATAAAGGGATTGAGTCTTTGCCACAAACTCTTAATTTCAAATCCCAATATCTTTTTGATCCAATGTCGTAGATCTTAGATATTTCAAACTATGAATTCTTTTAGATTAAATTGTGAAAATTTGAAATACCAAAGGCTTACGCCAATATTTTCCAAACTTATAGGGATTTGAAAATTCGAGTTTGCGGCAAAGACTCAATTCCTTTATGAATTATAGATATAATTTTAGATTTAGCATGGAGCATTTGAAACAGAGCATATATTTATAGCAGAGAACAAAAACCCATATTTTTGCTCAGAACTAACTCTAAATGATAAAAGTAAAATTGATTCATATGATAGGATACGTATACACTTTATATAAAAATATTGTTGAATAATGTTTTAATAATTTAGGAATATTTTTCCCTCTGGTGGATCACTGGACAGAGAATAGTGATGTATTAAATTATAAATAAGAAAATTACTGAATTATTATTATTAATCCTTTTAACTTAAAAATTGACAGTTCAACTCTAGCTTTCGTTAAAGGTCTTTGCAGAGGTGCTTCTAATATTAACTATGAGTACAGGGAGACAGAGTAAAAATGGCAAATCCAAGTTAAACGTTCACACATAAGAAACTTAAGGTTTGATGGGAAATTGAAGAGAAAAACAAGATAATCAACAAGGAACATCTGCATTTATCTGTCAACGTTGTATTACCCTGTAGAACAGAGGTTTTGTACCTCTCTGGGTCTAGTCTTGCTATGGAAAATCTCGACTTGCACTCCTTAAAAACAGGTCTGGTTAACCTGTTTCAAGTAAAACCTACAACCCGTGGGAAACTAGTAAATACCCATCAACCACTTTCAACTTCTTTCATCACATTTGTCATTATTTATAAGTGGAGAGTCTGACATTCGGTCCTACGAATTTTCAAAATTCCACGTTTGGTGCAGTGTCCCTTTTTCTTTCCTCACCATGCAACAGAGCTAGGAAAGATAAACATTAATTTAATTGTGTATTGATCGATATTTAGTCTGATCATATTATTCAACAATCTACAAACCTGCTGAGACAGCAAATATCAATTCTAGAAAACTTGTAAGGGTTACTATTTCATGATTGTTCATGAGTTCAGTGTCAGCAGCTGAGATATGAACTAAACATATTTGCAACAAACCAGAAATATCAGACAGAATTAAAAAAGAGGTAGAGCACTCTGGGTCGTAGTAAATTTGAATTCGAATAGGACCTGCCCAGTTTGTACCGGCCTGCCAGATAACAGCGTGTACTGACCCGATCCTATGGTACAGTACGTCGCCCTATCCAGACTAACATACGACAGGGGTCAATATTCTTGACATAGTCCCGTCGGAGTGCTAACTATAGCAACTCCCATTGCGCGTTCAGACTTTTTACAGTACCCGGCCTAATTCAGGCCTATTTGACCGACCCCACTTGCTTAGTCCACTGTGAGAGATTAGCAGAATTCTTAACCAATGAAAGATAAGAAGAATATACAGACTATTTCTTATAAAGAATTATCTTGAAAACATCAAAAATAAATGTTGGGGTGCAGTTTCCCACTTGGGACTTTCGGGGTCCTGCGATCCCCATCCCCCCCTTCCCCCCAGGGGAAAAGGGTCCCGGCCTCCCGGGGCCCCAAGAATCCCTAACTGGGAAAAATTGGAATACTGTAATACTATTAAAATAATATTGTACAATTTTGTAATCATCTTCTTAAAAGCATTTTTTTAAAATTGTTAAAAAATCATTCTTTTAAATGTTTAAAAAACTAAAACATTTAAATAAAAAATACGATTATTTGATGCTAACAAAGAATTTTAGAAAGAACATGTTTAACGCATTAATAATCATAATAATTAATAATAATAATAATAATAATTATTGCAAGGGTTGGTTGCATAAGCTAGGATATACAGATCATGGAGGTTGCTTGCATTTGTTTGTAGCTTCAATGTCCCTAGGCCAGAATATTTGAATTTTGAACTTTGAATTCATAAATTTTTGAATTCGTTTAATTTAAAGTTTTGAATATTTAAATACATACATACGTATTACGTAGTATGACACGATCAAATAGTTTAATTTTTTTAAATTTAATTTCTTTGCAACCTGGCGGCGTAGACCTTTAATATTTCCAACTTAGACTATTTGATCTAACAGAATTCATAGTTTGAAATGTCAAAGGACCCCGACATTGGGTTGTAAAGATTTAGAATTTAGAAAATCAGAGTTTGTGGCAAAGATTCCATTCCTTTATCTAAGTAAATTTGTGACAAATTCCTTATCCATTGTTAATGCATTTAATTAAAAGTTTACAAAAGTTTAATTATAAGGTATGCAAGTTAATTACACTTTAATTATATACTTTAAAGGGACTGTAAGTGTAATTTCAACTGACTCTCTGGGAAAAAGGGGAAATGTCCGGTGTACGCTGCATACACTGTGAACTCAACACGGACCCGTCACTAGCGTCCCTTTCAAATTTTGTCTCTTTAGCGTTAAAAGCAGTTTTCAAATATTCGAAAGTAAATTTTATTTGCTGATGCCACTTCTAGAATGTAGCTAATGATATTTCTTAAATATATAACAGCCTGATGTCCTTAATCAGTGAAAGGTTTCAAGGGTACCGTTGTGAATCTGGAATGCCTCTCTTTAAATGGAAGATCACTTGAAGTCCCTTAAACAATAATTATTAATTAAAAGATATCGACACCTTTGTCGCTGATTATATTCGAATATTCGTTTAACCAGTCTCTCTTCGTATGATTTCAAAAGTTCATGCTAGTCCTCCAACTACAACTAAAAATCCAAGTAAGAAAACTAGGAACCTGGTTTAGTCTACACATAAAGGGTTGTTATTACCAATATTAATCATTTTGGTTTGATTTTTAAAACACATATTCTGTTTACATTTTTTAATATTCTGTTTACATTTTTGAATCTTAGTTTACATTTTTTAATATTCTGTTTACATTTTTAAATATTCTGTTTACATTTTTTTAATTTTGCAAAAATTTGTTATTATAGAAGAAAATATCACGATGGTTTTTATGTTAGTTTTCCAATGTCAATATTTAAGAAAAGCAAATATTTAGAATACACAATTTTAAAATTGTAAAACCTCTCAGATTGCTAAGGAACCTTTTAAAAGTTCAAAGACCCTTAAAAACTATAAACAACCTAAATGTATATGCAGTACGAGAAGTATGTTTATAAAGACACAATTAAACTAAGCCTAAAGTTAAACTATTTTATTTTGATCATACGTACATCTCACAGCAAACCAAGAATCATGAGCGTCGAAATTTTAAAATTTATGTTTCTAGCGCTAATGCTAAAGCGTTGGGACACTTAAAAGTCGAGTCAAGGCTGTCTAAATATTTGATGAATAACTTTCAAGGTTGTCAGTGATCTGTCTGTTTGTGAAAAACGCCCCAAGAACGTATGTCACATTCAAAATTTCTGACTGAACAAGAACGGTTTGTTCACTAACTGTTCTTTAGCTTTCTTGAACACGTCCTATGCAATCCTAATATTTCATTGTGAAAAGTGCGCAAATAACCCCCCTCCCCATACCTTACATATAATCACATTGTATGTGCAGATACCTATAAGTAACCTACACTTACATAGCATTGAATTTATTTACGTTTTACACAGCCTCAAACCTAAATTATCATATTCAGGAATGTAGGTACACGAAATAAAACTCAATTTAATTCAAACAATGAAATTGATTAAAAATTGAGTTAATAATAACCTGTCCAACCTGTGTAAACCTTTAATGCTAAATTTAACATAGCTGTTGAGAAAGTTTAGAGGAAATATTTGTATTCATGCACAAAATTGAAAGAGGGATTTGATTAAGTATTTTAAGGATTTAAAACTTTAAATAAAATCTAATTTATGGTTTTAGATTTGACTGCAGTTATTCTGGGAACCTTTATTCTTGTTTTCTCAATGATTTTACAGAATATTTCCAAGATAAAAGATGAGGGTAAGCAGATTTAAAAATTCAGTAAACATTTTAGATTTTTAAACTGACTTAGCAGAGTTGGCAGATCCCCCCCCCAAAAAAAAAATAAACGCACTGATGTCAGAAGATTAATTTTAGGTTGCCGTTGCACTTCTTTTTCTTTTCCTGAAAATTTTCAGGAAGTTCACCGAGCTGCAGAATCTTTTAAATTATTGAAAACTTTCTTAATTTTATAAAAAAAAAAAGATGAATTGTTATACGTTGTTTTTGTGCAATACATTAATATATTTTTCTTGGTTTAATTCCAGTTAACACAACACAACAATCGCTTTTATCCTGCTGATGAACTTAAAGGGACTCTAAGCGAAACGTGACCAGATCTAGTTCAAAGATTGCAAAGTCCTATTTATAATGTGGTACCCTTTAAATCTTTTTCTGTTCAAGTATGAATTATGTATGCATTTTATTGTTGTTTTTAACTGTTAACTTTCATTTGCGGGTTCTCTACGAAGGTGACTTGCGCATTCCTTGCTAACAAGAAACAATTGAAAAGCTCACAGAAATAACAACTTTTTGAGTTTAGAAAGAAAGGTTTCTTCCACATTTTTATCAAATTAAGGTTTCAAGGTTACCGGTGTAAAACAGTCACTTGAAATTATGCTTACAGTCCCTTTAAACTAGCAAATATGTTTACAGATACCTGTTCTACTGCTATTAACCAATATGTTTACAAATACCTGTTCTACTGTTATTAACCAATATGTTTACAGATACCTGTTCTACTGTTAAAAACCAATATATTTACAGATACCTGTTCTACTGTTATTAACCAATATGTTTACAAATACCTGTTCTACTGAAATTAACAAATATGTTTACAGATACCTGTTCTACTGTTATTAACCAATATATGTTTACAGATACCTGTTCTACTGAAATTAACCAATATGTTTACAGATACCTGTTATACTGTTATTAACCAAAATGTTTACAAATACCTGTTCTACTGTTATTAACCAAAATGTTTACAGATACCTGTTCTACTGTTATTAACCAAAATGTTTACAGATACCTGTTCTACTGTTATTAAGCGATATGTTTACAGATACGACTGTTCTACTGGGTGTCCTAAACATAATACTGGCAATGTCTGCAGCTTCTGCCACTGAATCAGTTGTGAACAAGATTTCTAAACGAGAGAAGGACAGATCTAAAACCACCTTATCACTGATGAATGCCATGTTGACAGCTGCTGTAGCTGTTAAGTCTGGATGTGAAATTATCCCCACGTGGTCAGCTGTCGTGGCAGGACTTGGCTCGGCTCCACTCTATTATGCTTCTACTTTACAATTCAAAAAGTATGATTTTATTTTTCTCTGTATTACAGCGATCCAAAGGTTGCAAGCTCTCAAAAAAAATTTAGTTAGAATTTTGCTAATTTCTTCTTAAAAACTTTAGTTAAAATAAGTGTTGTATTGTTCTGTACATGTTCAGGGCTACAAAAAAGCGAAAGTGAGTTGGTGGGGAAAAATCAATAACTAGGCCGTTGCGATACTTTAAAGTCGAACCAGTCTTAATAAAATTGCTGCAACTTTTCATTGTTGTCTGGATCTCTGCATGGTATTGAAAAATTGAATCTCTTAACATTTTAATACAGGGTGTCCCAAAAAACATGGGAATTCAGTGACGAATTCGATATCGTCTTTGTTATGAATTAGCATTGCAATACCTAATTTCAAAAGCCGTAATATTATTATGTCCGCTAGAGTTTATTTTATGAAAAGGGTAAAAGACTGTTAAGATGTGTCTAAAATGTCTCCGCAAGATGAACAGTGAAGACGGACAAGTTTACTATGTTTGTATACTGCAATTTTCTTGTTTTACTAAGTACAGCCGTATGCAGTCAAAACATAAACAAACAAAATGTGAACATAGCAGACGAAACTTTTACAGATTACAGCTTTCTCAGTAGGTATCACTATACTAAATTAAAGAATTATTTAAAAAGACGATATCGAATTCGTCACTGAATCTCCGTGTTTATTGGGACACCCTGTAGTATGGAAAGATTTTATACAAATGCAACATAAAAATCTAAACAGAGATGAGCTGGGAACTTTTGACTGGTGGATATCGGGATTAATGCTTAATCCACTCTTTCTCTAAATCTCCAGATTAAATATTGCTTGTTGTCCTCATGAATCTAATCTCCAGATTAATTAACAGATCGGGATTAAGGATATCACATTCTAAAGTTCCCAGCTCTGGGAACTTTAAAACGGATAACCTTTAATCCCAACTAGGGCTGGGCACGTTCCGACTTTTTTGAAATCGTTCCGTTCCGTTCTAGAACGAGGGCCTTCAGCTAAATCGTTCCGTTCTCGTTCCTCTTTTTTTATCGTTCCGTTCTCGTTCCGTTCCGTCCCGTTCCGTTCCGTTCTGAGTAGAAGAACGGTCTTCCCGTTCCGTTCCGTTCTTGGCGTTCTTAGTTGAAATCGGGGGATTAAATAAAAAATCTTTAACTATTTCTAGATGATTTAGAACACATTCCTGATTTAAAATGCGTTCCCAACTTTGAACAAGTTCTTGATAATAAGAACGCGTTAACGATTTTAACCGTTCTTTTCAAGCAATTCCCGTTCCGTTCCGTTCCGTTCTTTTACTAATCGTTCCAATATTTTTAAGAACGCGTTCTAAGCGTTCGTTTTTTTTCGGAACCATGGGATCGTTCTTGATCGTTCCGTTCGTTCTCGGGAAAGAACGATCGTTCCACCGTTAACGCGCCCAGCCCTACTCCCAACTACTTTATCCGAATATCCACTGTGTAAACTTTTAATTTTAGTCCTTAATCCACTCTTTTTCTCACTCTATGGATATCCATACATTGTTTTCTCCAATGAGAGTGCAGGAATATAGTTCGTAAATTGTATCGACCAATGACAATCTTGAAAATAAATTCTATCCCATGCATGAGAGAAATCCGCAATTTCTAACAATTAAAAATTTGTCGTCGGCCATTTTGTAAATAAATCGGTGAAGAAAAATATTTAATAATACGTTCGAGATTCTTTTTTAACCAATTTTAACTAATGTATTAATAAATAAATGGGTGAGAAATTAAGTGAAGGCCCTTCCAGTCAAGAAAACGAACACATCTGGCGTTCCTAGAATCTAAATATTTAATCTCGAGACTAACATAATCTCGAGATTATGTTAGTCTCGAGGTGAGATTAGGAAAAAGAGAGGATTAAGCATTAATCTCCATATCCACCATTCTAAAGTTCCCAGCTCAGAATGAACACTGCATTCCAATAGGGACTGATAATGTACATCAGGATGAATTTCAGTCCTGAAGCATGCTAGCTCTATCCATTTATCAATTATCCTTTCCATATTCTGTATAATGCTCATGTATATTAATCTTAATTTCACACTTTTTCTTAACTTATGATATTTATAGTACAGAGAATATGGTTGTCTTTTCTGAGCACAGGTCAGAGGCGCAACAGGGGTATTTGCGGGGGGGGGGGGCAAACTTTATTTTGTGGCAAGATATTTTTTAGAACTGGATCTTGAACTTTCAAATCTCGAAATCGCCAGGGGAAAGAGCGCCTCTGATAAAAAACTGTAAGTGACCCTTTATGCAATTGGCAATGCCTGATTCACAACGGTATCCTTGGAACCTTTTTTCGCTGACAGTCCCTTTAAAGACAACGCCACTGGAAACCAAATCTGACTTTATCTCTTTCTCCGTAGATTCGGAATTCACGATGAAGCCGAAGTAATCGCGGTCCATGGGGTAGGAGGACTACTTGGGATGGTTGTTCTTCCCTTGTTTAGACAAGATGATCTTGGACTATTCTATAATGGAGGGCTGGATGCTGCTACTGGTCTAGGTAAATATAGATATTATGAACCTTAGCTGGGATCTCAAGCTTTTGTTAATCTGCTAATCGATTTAACCATGATCAGGGGAGGAATAAATTAAATGATATGGAAAGGTTTATTTGAATAGATTCTCAAATTAAAAATGTCCAAAGTGGATATTGAGATCAAACAATCGGGATTATGAGTATTCAACATTAAAGGTCCCAGCACTAGTCGTTTTCTTCAGATAACTTGACTTTTGGTCAGCTTCCCTTAAATAATCCTAGTTTTCAATGGGGGATTAGAAAAAGTTAAATTTTTAGCTAAAAATAGTTGTAACCTTCCCTAACCACTGATTTAAAAGTCGGCATTTTCCCTGAAAAGCTGTGAAGTTCGATCACAAATTGACTTTATAGTTAATCACATGAATATTTTTTGCTTTTTCTTTTTTCTGAATACTTTTGTGTTGATGAAAGCGTTTTAAGTGAAAAAGTATTCTAAGAAAACTCTGTAAGTTCAAATATGTTGAATTCTAGACCAAAGGGCAACTGAATACAAATTTAAGAAACTGAACGCATCTCGCCTTGGTTAGTCCAGGGTGCCTTTGATTATGAAAGTTCTCAACCAAAATTTGAGCACTGAGCAGGATTAGTTTAGTCACATGATAAAATATTTGAAAAATTGGCATTTTGAAAATCATGAGTATACTTTCTTTACCTAAAGCTGAAACCAATAAACTAGCATTTAAACTTATCAGAACATTTTAATTTTAATATTTAAACTTATCAGAACCATTATGATTTTAATATTTAAACTTATCAGAACATTTTAATTTTAATATTTAAACTTATCAGAACCATTATAACTTTAATATTTAAAGTTATCAGAACCATTATAACTTTAATATTTACACTTATCAGAACCATTATAATTTTAATATTTAAACTTATCAGAACCATTATAATTTTAATATTTAAACTTATCAGAACCATTATAATTTTAATATTTAAACTTATCAGAACCATTATAATTTTAATATTTAAACTTATCAGAACATTTTAATTTTAATATCTAAACTTATCAGAACATTTTAATTTTAATATTTAAACTTATCAGAACATTTTTATTTTAATATTTAAACTTATCAGAACCATTATAACTTTAATATTTAAACTTATCAGAACCATTATAATTTGAATATTTAAACTTATCAGAACCATTATAATTTTAATATTTAAACTTATCAGAACCATTATAATTTTAATATTTAAACTTATCAGAACCATTATAGTTTTAATATTTAAACTTATCAGAACCATTATAACTTTAATATTTAAACTTATCAGAACCATTATAATTTTCCGAACCAATACTTTCAACAATAGAATAACAAATATTTCTTAAAAATGTTATTTTCTACCATCTGTGGAATCCCTCCTCTCAATGTTAACATGATTTATTTCCGTAATTTCAGCATTTTCCTTAAATCTTCTCACAACAAAATAAACAGTGTATTTTCCTTATATATTCAAACTTCTGCAGAGCATCGAATCCCAACATTCTACACTCTACAGCTATAATCAATGACATATCTGATAAAATTGATAATTATCCAAACCTGTCTGCATATACCAATTTTTATTTTAAAACCTGGTAAAAATTTCAAAAAATCCAACCCTTCGTATCTCACATATATTGTTCTCTCTAATATCTCTGTACAAAAAATTGGATTGCTCCTTGTCTTATATCTCCATATATTTAATCCTCCATGTGTTAAATCTCCATATGTTTTATCTTCCTTGTGTAATACTCTATATTTTTTTGATTTTTTCATGACATATTTTCTACCCAGGCGAAACTGGGTCCCTATGCTAGTATATCTTTATATTCAATCCCCCCTACGGTTAAAATCTCCATGAATCTTCATGTATTTAATCCTCCTTGGGTGTAAAATCTCCATATATTCAATCCTCCCTGGATATAAACTCTTCATATATTTAATCTTCCCTGGGGGTAAAATCTCTTTATATTTAATTCTTTCTGGGTGTAAAATGTCCCAATTTTAAATCCTCCCTGGGGGTAAAATCTCTATATATTAAATTCTTTCTGGGTGTAAAATCTCCATATATTCAATCCTCCCTGTGTGTAAAATCTCCATATATATATAATATATAAAAGGAATGAATCTGGTTGGTACGCTGGTAGTGTTGGCCCTGGGAGCAATCGCGTCATTTGGAATCTCATTCCTAGCCACCAAACTTAACATGTTTATCAAGATACAGGTAAATTATATAAAGGGGGACCCACACAGGATAATACGTCAATGACAACTGTACACATTTTTTAATGTTTGTTTCCTTATATTCACGATTCTCTGTATTTAAGACACAAGACTTAATTTAAACTTGGGAATTGTTATTACTCTGTTGTGACTGTCGTACATGAACAATCTAAGCTTGACGTAATGGTTTCTACACCAACTCAGAGCAATTATAGTAGAATCTGTGAAGTATATTATCTCTCCTATATCCGATCCTAATGCGACCTTTACCATGAAGACTTCTTGAACTGCTTCTATTTGTTTATTTCTTCTTTCCTTGGTAATATCACCAGACAACATAAAGCTTTCGGAGATTTATTAGTTTGCATATCAGTTAGTTTTTCTAGAGCTCACTATGCCATACCAAGCCCTCACCATCACCCATATATCAGGCTTCACTTTAGGGTCCAATGGTTCAATGAATAAGAATAATGAGTATGGCAGTGAAGGATCATCCATGATCAGCTGGTTGTACGACTTACTAATATCAGATTTCCAGATATACTCCGTGCATCTGCATCTTATCAAGATTGTTATATGATATTATGATATTATATGATATTGTTGTATGATGTTGAACACAGTCTAGGATGAATCTATGACCATCCTGACCAGGGTTTACATGAATCCATCTTCAGGACTAATAATGTTGGAACATTGCATCTTGAATCATCTTTTTCTTGATGACGTCCATCCCATCTAACTTCACCATGAATTCCTTGTCTACCAGGAATCCAAGTTTGTGTTCTTGATTCCTAGCAATAAATGAACACAGGAACCGCCAACACGCTTGGGCAGTATCACATCCTTGTCCTGATCATCAGCTTGCATTTTGTACTCTTCACATAAATCGGATAAATCATAAGATCCAACCCCAGCAGTTACATCATCCGTGCCAAAACAAACTATTTGGTGAAACTCACCCTTTTCTCCGGGTCCCAGATTGAACCTAAAAGTTCCATGTTGTGAACAAACTTTGTTTCCTCCAACTACAGTTAAACTTACAGGGGTATAGGTAGGGTTGTTAATCGTTTTTGAAAACGATCATTAAACGATCGTTTTTTTTCGTTTTCCTATCGTTTTTTGTTTCGTTTTCCGATCATTTTAAAAACAATCGTTTTAAAAACTTTTTAAAAAACGATAGCTTTTAAAACTTTAGCATTATCAGAAAATACCCCAACATCAGCAAAACAGCCCTTAGACGTATCAATACTATAGATCTCAGCCTTATTGTACAGTTCTTCTGTTCTCAGACACCAATTCTCCGCAGTGTCAATTAATTAGTTTATGGAATCACAATACTTGTAATCCATCCCAGGAAACTTAACATAATTCTGAAGAGCTTTCTGGATATATACTACACCTGCATATTTACAGGGTACATCTACTGTCTATCAATACAGTGATGACGACCCTCATCATCAATATTTAGTTTTGATTTCCACCATGCTTTCATACAGCAGAGACACATAAACACTTCAATGTTTTATGAGATTAAATCTAATGAATTACAAAAAAATATTTAGGTTTATTTATTGTCATGTATTGAAAATACATAACACATATACTGTAAATCCATGGGATATCTTAAACTTACTTTTTTAGGAGTATGAGTATTCAGGAAATAGTGTTGAGAAGGGTATCAAGGATATAAGCAAGGAGAACATAGGAGAGATTTTGCCATTAAAGCTTGGAGATGTCGACGACAGCTTCAGGGTTAAGGAGCTGACCTTCATTGATGCAGAAAACCAGGAATCTGTAACTAGTAATAGATCAAACTTATAAACATCTAAAGATATGGTTCTTGTCAAAAAAAATGTGATTTTAGTCTTAAAATGATACTCTTCCTACAATGTTGCGGGGTTACTTTACCTCAAATGTAGGGTTTTGGTAAATCAATTGTACAAAAAAACTAACCTTTCAGGGTGCTCTCAGGTACCTTTGGTGAAAGATTTTCGAAGAGAATAAATTATTTGGTGTACAGCATTACAAAATAATTGAGTATCTTCGTTTTGCCCCTGTATTACCATATACATATACAGCGATAACCAGAAAACTGTAGAATAGAAAGACTACATTTAAGTGCATTTGATGCTGTTACAAAGAAAATAGCTTTACTGGTAAGTTATCAAATCACTTATTAAGTGATTTGGGTCTGTTTAAACTGCACAATTACTGTGCCTCATGTTCATGGGACTATTTTAAGTCCAAATTTAAGCATGACATGAAAGTCGACTTCCTATTCCAGAGTTTTCTGGCTATCACTGTACACAAATAATAATTTTGTATTCCCATATTCTAGCTATTGCTCTGAAACCATTTAGAGTTCTTAACGGGAAAAAAACTAAAACAGACATTAAAGTATTATTCTTTTAATAATATCTTAAACCCTAAAACGATGATTTTACATTTTGTCATTTTTTGAGACAAATATAAAGACTAGAAAATACATGCATAACATACAAGTCTTACTGCATAACTCAATGCTATTTTTTCAGCTGAGACCTTAAAATGATAATTTTAAAGAGGAAATGAAAAAAAAAGTATTACGGAATTATCATAGGAGTCTTTGTATAAAGTAAGATACTCAATTTATTTTAAGGTTGTACAGTGTACACCAAATACTTCGTTCTCTTCATCAATCTGTTACCTAGGGTACCTGTTGTGAAAGCAAAGGTGAGATTTTTTGTACAAATTGAATTTATCTTAAAAACCTACATTTGACTATTTTGTAACTTGCTTGTTATTCCTAACATAATACTTTATTAAGAGAATTTTTTTTCTTAGCAAATTAATATTAAGAACTCCAAAAAAAGAGGTATTATTCGACCTCTAAAAAAATCAACTAAGAGAACGATGAATATGAATATATGACAAGGAAAATGTTTACAGGCCCACAGGGTTTTATTTCAAGGGTAAAACTAGCGTCATGAAAGAGCTTACATTTTCTGTGTAGTTCTTTTTTTATACCAGTAGTATTATATATATAACTAACTGAAGGGTCCGGCGTTGCCTTGGAAAAAAAAATTGAAAAAAAATAATTTAAAAAACTAAAAAAATTTTGGCAGCAAAAGAAATATATTTTTTTAGCCTAAAAAACCCCAGGGCCACCCATGAGTGTCCACAAAAAATTCTGTCCAGCCGTTTGGCCGGCTATACGCAACATATATATATATACGAATGTCTTGTTTAATTATATAGATATATATATATAGGCTTTCATTAAAAAAGTCAAATATTTAATTTTATTGCATCAACAATATGTTTCATGCCACCACAATCTATTATATGTATATATATATATCAAAATCAATAAATAATATTTATTAAATCAAACGTTCTTCTTCATTTAATCTGAAGGTTTCTATAATATCTATATATAACTTGCTAAAGATAATCAAATCTCATTCAAAGAGCAACTTTATCAGATTTAGAAATAAATCAGTAAAGGCGGAATAAAAGTCGTCTTTATTCAGTTTGTTAACCAGAGACTTTCCTGAGGCCGTTCCTTCCATAAACTACATTGGTCGATAACTTGACGTCTCATATATTGGTCGTCAAGTGAACGGAGAAATTATCTACCTATCAGATAAGAATTTAGCATGAGACATCTAGCGGCCACATATCGTCCCCCAAAGTACGTGAATTACACGACCACTAGCTATGGAGAGAACGGGCTCAGAGGGTTTTGTAGTTTGATATTTAAGTATCCTTTTGATACGAAGTACAAAATCTTTTAAAAAATTTATAAATTTTATCTTTTATGTCAAAAATTGAGTATTTCTTTAAAATTCTAAAACTTAACCCCTGAATGGGTATTATCTGCAACAAGTGGCCGTTAGATGGCAGTCAAAAACCTTTTGTGGAAAAGTAGCCTAGCGTGCTGGGACAAAAATAGGCCTGCTAGGTTATCCCGTGCGAACGTATGATCAGTCTGTAAACTTAACCCTTTTTACATTTATTGTGCAGCAGTTAAAAGTCCAATTGTGTTGAACTAATGCATTTTCTCTATAATAGAAAACGATGATTAAACTAAAAAGTTTATTTGTCGACTGCATGACTATTGATTATTTCCTTTCTCCCCTGTAGTAAAATTTCTAGTTTTTAATTTGTTTAAATGATCTTCACATTTTCATCGTCTCTAGAGTGTTAACATTTTTTGCCAATATGGAAAATTTGCAGTTTCTAAAACTATGCAAATCCTTTTAACTTTTTTTGCAATTTTAAAATTATGAATTCATTATTGTTTCTCTTAATAAAGAAAATTATTTTGTTTAACATTAATTCCCCTTGAATTGGGATGCATTTATATATCTAACAACTGCTAAACTAAACGTACCCATGTTTTATTGTATTTTAAAACTTAAAACTTCAGGAAAATGCATAATTTAAAGGGACTGTCAGTATAACTTCAAGTGAGCCTCCAATGGTATACAGTGGCTCGATGAATAACAATACCCTTTTAACTTTCAACTGATTCTTATTAATCTATAGTTAAACTCATTAATATGAATACATCGGAAGAATTTATATAATGTCGCCATGAATTTGAATTTGAGGCTGTCAGTTGTATTTTCCTAAGCTGTCGACGTTTTTTGCTAGAAGCTTAACAGGGATACGTATAGTTTACTAAGACATAATTTCTGTGTTGAGAGTCAACGTTTGTATTGGGAGTAAAGGTTTTCTAAATTAATTTTTGTAAAGATAAAAAATAGCCCTTAAATACACGACACATGACAATTGAAAATAGATAGTTGGGCGCTACATATCATATAACTCTCAGCGGCATTATGAAGTGAAAAGTGATAAAGACGACATTTTAAAATTCTTCTGATGTATCCATATTAATGGACTGTACAAAAACTATTTATATTGTTAAGCTCTTTGTCTCCAAGGTTTTTCATATTTAAGAAATATCAATATTTTTATTCTCGAGGACGCAAAAAATAAAAATTTAAATTTGAATTTACAAAACCGCGTTGTATTCAGAAAGAAACTTTTCTGGGTTTTTATGGGACACAAATAATATCAGCTTAGTTAAGTTCACATTCTCCCCTTTTAATGGAACTAGAACGATATTTGATTGCATTGGTTGCATGGTGGGTCACATGAAATAACGTTTGAAGCTTGAATGAAGGTATGGAGTATGAATAATATTTTACAACAATTACAGAGTTACTAGAAATGATATAAACAGTTTTTAAGGAACTCCCGGGGAAATTTTGTGTTTCCCTTATTTAACAGCGGTAACCTTAACATTTATAAATTCATAGGTTTCTATTTGAAAATTAGCATTTTCAATTGCAGCCTCTCTTTAAAAATGACTCGCGGTTTATAAAAGAAAATGCACAGAATTTATCTTAGTTTGAGATTGCTTGGTATACGCGATGTGAATATTAATTGGAGGATCATTTGAAAATACGTAGTGAGACCCTTTAATTAAAGAATGAATTTAATGAAACTAATTAACTTTAACATATTTAAACCAAGTGAACAATGCGTGTTCCCTAATTAGCTGGCTTCTCAGTGTTTCACTGTCTCTCAACATTAAGCAAACCTAAATACTGGTCATTTTTAACATCACAAATAATTTTAACACTTTTTCTTAGAAATTGGATAAGATAATTATAATCCTTATAAAGGAAATTATTAAAGTTGATTTTTTTAAACCATTCAAATGCTATTGAAGCCTTGGATAAAAAAAGGAATTCTGGGAGGATTGAGTGGAAAAAAAGTGGAAAAATAACAAATTATATTGATATATGATCATAGCTGAAAACTTTAGAATTGGATACCCTTAATTCCGATGTCTTAATCTGAATATCCACCATGGACACTTTTGATTTCTGTTTAATCTTTCTTTATCTATGAATCTTATTCTCTCAATGATTTCAGAAATGTTTGGCTTCTGGTTGCCGCTGTTAGGTTTCTACAATTGACACTCTGATTGGTTGTATTTTAGAAACTTTCCTGGATCTTAAGGTTAATAAAAAGAGAAAATAAAGCATTGATCTCGATATCCACAATTCAAAAGTTTTCAGCTCAGAGTTGATCAGGGGAGAAATAACTGAAATAAAAATATGGAAATTAATCTTGAGGTTCATAAAAAAAGGAGATCAAGCATTGATCTCAATATCCACAATTCTAAGATTTTAAGCTCCAAGCTGAATGCTCTTGTTTTGGATACCCTTAATACCGATCGCTAAATCTCTGTATCTACTGTGGACACTTTTGATTTACCTCGAAATCCTATCTCTCTTTTGGACATCCCTGATGAATTTTGACCAAAGAGAGATGTCCCATTGATTGTACGCAAAATCAATCTTAAGATTATTGAAAAAAGAAGATCAAGCATTGATCTATACAATTCTAAAGTTTTTAGGTTAGAGCTGGGAATTTTTGTATTTTGGAATTCGAGATCGCATTATTCTATATCTTGTGTTAATCTGCAGATTAATTTAATCTTTATACCATAGGTAATCGTGCCCAGTCAGGGGTTAAAGGGAGCTTTGATCAGGAGAGGCGCGAGAATTTCTCTAGAAGGGACTGGTTCAGTTTGTTGTACCGTCCCGTTTTGCTTGGTATAATCTGTTTGTGTAATGTGTACAGTACAGCTCGCTGTAGCTGTGTAGATGTCGGCCAGGTTCTTGAAATGAACCGAACTTAACAATGGAGGAATAACTAAAATAAAAATATGGAAAAGGTATCGTTTTTAAAGCTCCTCAAATTAAAAGTTTAATATCAAGGGATCGTAATTACAAGTATTCAACAAAGAAGTTCCCAGCTCAGATAACTTGGAACAGACATGGAAAAAGTCCACTAATTGTTTACATAAGTAAATTGTACAGTAATAAAATAAATCATGCAAATATATTCATACCAGATTAAATATTTTATTTGTTCTAATATCATTATATAATTAATATTATATCATTATATGATTAACTACTGAAGATTATATAAGTTTATATTCACCAAGAAGAATTCAAATCAACGAGAGGACGCGGCGAGTCGCTCGGTATCAATCTCAGGGTCGACTGCACCAGTCTCTACAGCAGGGTCGACTACACCAGTCTCAACCTCACCATCAACCTCTTCATCATCAACCTCTTCACCATCAACCTCTTCATACTCCTTTTCCATCCAATCAGGTTTCCAGGACTTCTTTATCGTTCCTGTCTCAAGCTTCCACCTGGAGTTAAAGGGAATATATATATACTAGCCTTAGAAGTAAGTCTGAATTAAGATGCTTAATAAATGCATTTTTAAGAATAATCAAGAAAATATATATATTCAATATATAAAGATTACTTATTGGATTAATTTAATGGAAAAGTATATTATTAATGTTAAAATAAATCCAGAACTGGTTTGTTCAGGAAATATACGCATGAGAAAATCCAATTTTTCCTGTTATTTATTAGCATTCAGAACTTTTTTGTTCTTCTTCTTTGATAAGAAGAGTTTATGATTGAAAACATAAGATGTTAATGTTACGTGGAATTCACTTTAGTTTGACGTGGTACAGTAAACCAACTCCACTGTGTACTTTTTCCTTGAAAACTAGGGTGGTAGACATTTATGGAAGTTAATTGATACAACATTTATGAGTGAATTTAAAATTAAAAAGTATTTTTAAAATGTTACTTGTTGCAATCCTCCTGATTACCAATCATTCTCTTAATCATTCCACGAACCCTAGCTCCTATTCCACGCTCCTCGACCCCAGTTTCCTCCTCTTCACAGCCCCAGTGCTTCTATAGATTGAATTCATAAAATCAGATTCACTTACTGGGCATCCAGAGGCCAAATTTAAAGAATTTGAGCCGCGGCTCAAATATGGTTGGTTCCGCTTAAAATTGTATTCAGTTCCTCAGTGTCACTGTCAGCTCATTAAAGTTTTAGCTTTTATGTGTAATTAAGGCCAACACCGTTTTTTAAAAAAGGAAACAAAAATTAAATATTTCGTGGATTTTTGTGTTTTTAATTAGTGTTTAAAAAAAAATTAAAAAAAGGATTCTTGGAAGTTAAATATTTAAGCAACAATCTTCAAGAATTAACAGGAATAAGGCACTTTCGAAGGATCTTTGAGAAATCTCTTGTCTTGAAATCTTTAAAAGCATAAACCTTATTCAATTTATTTTGTTTCTTATACTTTCTCTGTTTTTTGTTATGTTGAATTTTCTCATTACAACTACCTTTCATATTATACTTATTAATTATAATCATATTCAACGTAGAATATATGTGAATTTCGAATATGGATTTGTCTAAGATTTGATGATATATATTTCTCCTTGGCAACGGAAATTAAATAGTAAACCCTTGAAAGCGGAGAACCTTCATTAAATATTTTCTTGTTTACATATATACAGAGTGAGTTAAAGGAACCAGGATTATTTTATGCACAAATTTTTGTTTGCTACAGATTAAAGGTATAACAAAATTGAAGTGCATCGAAATGAAATTCAAAAATATGTTTAGAACACCGAAGAAAAAATTCCGCGAAAATCTTATATTTTGAAAAATGAATTCACGTTGAGAAATATAAAAACGCGGATAAAATTACAATGAAAAAACGACATTAGATTAGAATGACGACCTACCCTCTGTAAACAGATGACCAGCGTATCTCCTATATTCAGATTATCCAGTACTGTATTGTTCTTCCCAGGATATCCGGTTAAAACCTAATGCAAAAAAAATAGAATTTAGACAATACTTAAAATTTTAGAATAGCAAAATCTGTGTGCCACAGACGAAAAATTGAGAATACCATGAACTAGACAGAAAGATAAGGTTAAATTTATGCGACATTACTTTTACGACTTTGTGACCTTGTAACTCCTATAGTTTTGATATAACGCACAAAAATGAGAGAGAAATAATTTAACCGGTTATCTATAGGTTTAAAACTTTTTTGTTTGTAAAGGGAGTAAAGGGAGTTATGATTGAAAACATGTAGGATTCAGCGGAAAATCCTATCAAGAGTCCTTCAAATTAGTTTTTAACTGCTAATAGAAGAAAGTATATATATTTTAAAGATCCGGGCTTAAAATGTTTTAATTAAAAGTGTCTAAAATTTAATTAAAAATATCATTTATATTTAAACCCCAGGCCATTTTGAAGATTATAAAAGCATAAAAAGAATGAGATAGAAATCTACTCATATTATTCTTAGTGGTCAGACGTTTAGTGATATCTTAAAAATTTTGCCTAGTACACTTTCGCATAGTACTCATTCGCCTAATACACTTTCGCCTAGTACTCATTCGCTTGGTACACTTTCGCCTAGTACTCATTCGAATAGTACTTATTCGCCTAGTACTCATTCGCCTAGTACACATTCGCCCAGTACTCATTCGGCTAGTACTCATTCTCCTAGTACTCATTCTCCTAGTACTCATTCGCCTAGTACACATTCGCCCAGTACTCATTCGCCCAGTACTCATTCGCCTAGTACTCATTCGCCAAGTACTCATTCGCCTAGTACTCATTCGCCTAGTACACATTCACCTTGTACTCATTCGTCTAGTACTCATTAGCAGCTAGTACACATTCGCCTAGTACTCATTCGCCCAGTACTCATTCGCCTAGTACTCATTCGCCAAGTACTCATTCGCCTAGTACTCATTCGCCTAGTACTCATTCGCCAGATACTCATTCGCCTAGTTCCCATTCGCCTAGTATACATTCGCCTTGTTCTCATTCGTCTAGTACTCATTAGCAGCTAGTATACATTCGCCTAGTACTCATCCGCCTATTCCACATTTGCCTGTGTAACATTTTGCCTAAATAACAGTTTGCCTGTATAACAGTTTGCCTATATAACAGTCTGCCTATAAAACATTTGAGAGTATTTTTTGCCTAAACCATGGTCCATGATTTTCTTGAAACACTCACAAACTTTGAAACAGGAAACCCCGCTAAAATGATTTGAAAATTCTGAAAATTCAGTTGTATTCTTGAAACCATGTCAGCACTAACCAAAGCAGGAGAATCTAAAAGAAGAAAGCCTTCCTTATTGATAAAAACAACTATTCATAGTTATACATTATCAAAATGTTTTATACGCGAAAAATACACTCAAATGTTATAAAGGCAAACTGTTATACAAGCAAACTGTTATACAAGCAAACTGTTATGAAGGCAAACTGTTACACAGACAAAATGTTATACTGCAGGCGAAAGTGTTCCAGGTGAATGTGTACTTGACGAATGAGCACTTGGCGACTGAGTACTAGACGAATGAGTACTAGGCGAATGAGTACTAGGCGGATGAGAACTAGGCGAATGAGTACTATGCGAAAGTGTACTAGGCAAAATGTTACTTAAAGGAATTAACTTTATCCGCCAAACTACAACAGTTACTGATTAATGTTTCATGAGCTGGATATTGTGGATATCGATTGAATCCTGAAATGTAGAGATTAAGCATTTATTCTCAAATAAAGAGTGGATCGGGATCAAGTGTTCGGGATTATGAGTATCCAACATTAAAGTTTCAAGCTCTGAAGGGATTAAGTACTAAAGAGTTCCCGCCCGCCCCTGGTTGTCCAAAATACATATTTGATGTTTACCTCAGCATTTACAGCTTCTTCGGTACACCCAGCATCATCAGTAGCGGAGACAGGAATAAAAAACTTGGATCTCTGCAAAATTAAAAAATTTCGAACTTTTATTTTTTTATTTGATAATCAGATTTTGCAAACTTGCCAGATTGAACGAATAGCGAGAAACCAAGTAAACCAGTATTTTTATTTTAGTCTAAGTACTTCTATTACTTCGCCTTTTTATTAAATTTTGTCTCATTTTTGGGGGGGAATATTTCATACAGATAACACAAATCTAAAGTTTTCAGGGACCTGGACCAGACAGCTGGGTAATGAGGTTCCCGGGTTTCCTGGCACTGTATAATCTTATAGAATTCATCAATGTTTGTTTTAACCCTTGTATATGTTTACACATATATTTGCCTAATATTATTTATTTATATCTATGTTTCAGGAGAAAATGGTTAAATACGTCTTTACACAAGAATGTAGCGTCCATATTAATCCTCAGAGTTGCATTATTCTACGCAGATTGTAAATAATTTAATTAATTTCAGCAACCTATAAATGTCGAATTCAATTCGTTATCATCTTTGACCACCTTTAATTTTTCTCGAACATTCCGATAAAACTCGGCCTGGTGGTTAATTGTCAAACTTTATGAATTATAATTATCTAATCAACAATTAATGATTTACCGACTCATGATGTCCATGATGTCCATGATGTCTATGATGTCCATGACGATGATCTGCAGCACGACGAGCTGCCACGAGCTGAAAAGCTAAAGCCAGCAGGACTACAGCAATCTTCATCTATAGATAAAGAAACTGAGTGTTTGCCACAAACTCAAATGTATTCATCCATATTTCGTTGCGACCTGATGATGTAAAACTCTTATATTTCAAAGGAACTGAGTCTTTGCCGCAAAATCTGATTTTCCAATCCCTATATTTTTGTAATATCATGTCGTATACCTTAGATATTTCAAACTATGAATTCTGTTAGTTCGAATATTCTAGTAGTTTGAAATATCTAAGATTTAAACCATCAGGTTTAAAATATATAGGAATTAGACAATTTGAGTTTGTTGCAGAGACTCATTTCAATTAGACTATTTTATCAAACAGAATTCATAGTTTGAAATATTAAAGGTCTACGACATAGGGTTGCATCTAGGGGTTAGAAAATCAGAGTTTGTTGCAAAAATCAGTTTCTTTATTTATAGATAGTCTGATAAATTGTTGCATTTCTTTAGATAAAAAATGTATAAATGTTGCACCTAAGATTACTCCTTCATCGTTATGATTACCGTTTCTGTGTCCCCCAGTACATTTAAACTAAACCAAATATAAAAACAATGTCTTGAATAATTCTAAATATGGCTTAGCTTAAAACCATTATCAGCGATATAATACAGTGGATCCCATAAAACTGTGAAAAAGTAAGACGCCTTTTAGTTATAAATAGTCAATACACTTCAAACACAGCAATTGTCCAATGGACACGTAGACCATTGCAATTGAAAACTTGACTTTCAAGATGCAAATTAATTTACGTAAACATCAAATACAATGTCGTCTTCCTATTCTACAGTTTAATAAAGAGCCTACCTCTTCCGTGTGAAATGTTAACTGGATGAAATTAAACCTATCTTCCAGTTTTATCCGGATATAGTGCTCATTCATGCGTACAAAGGGCCCCTAGCATGCAGTTTCATTTTTTTAAACAGAGTTACTCAAAAATAATATAAAATATAACTCTAATAATATAACCATCAAAATTATAACGACCAAAAAAATTACCACCAAAAATATAACCATTTTTTTAAAAGAAAAATATAACCATTTTTTAAACAAAAATATATCCATTTTTTTAAAACAAAAATTTAACCCTTTTTTAACCGAAATTATAACCATTTTTCTACTAAAAATTTAACAATTTTTGTACTAAAAATATAAAAAAAAATGTTAACCAAAAATATAAACGTGTTTTAACCAAAAATATAACCTCAAAAATATAATTATTTTTACCAAAAATATAACCTATCGTATTTAGTCGAAAATATAACCATTGCTTAACTTAAAATATATCCTCTTTTTAGCCAACAATATAATTCCACTTTTTCTTTAAAAATATAATCATTTTTATTTAAAAATATAAAAATGTTTTAGACGAAACTGTAACCATTTTTTAACCAAAAATATTACCATTTCTTATCTAAAAATGTAACTGTTTTTTTTAATTCTTAACTTGAAATTAAGCGCTTTTCTAATGATGAGAATCAATTTTTGTTAATGCCTAAATGTGATTCCTCTGAATTGTATTGAATAAAAGCTATTAAGTGCTCTATCAATAAGCAGAATTTCTTGTTAATATAAGAAACTTCCCAACATACGAAGAATCAGTGTAAAAAATCTCCACGATATAATATTTAGAGTTAAGACTTTCAAGACACACGGGAGAACTAGGATATCCAGGGCAAACAAGTCCAACTACAGACCAACAATTCCAACTACAGACCAGCCAGTCCAACTACAGACCAACAAGTCCAACCACAGACCAACAAGTCCAACTACAGATCAACAAGTCCAACAACAGACCAACAAGTCCAACAACAGACCAACAAGTCCAACCACCACAGACCAACCAGTCCAACTATAGACCAAGTTATATTCTCCTGCTGGTTCAATGAACAGAGCTACTGGAGACTTGGAGCAGCTCAAGGATTTAATGCAAGGAACGTTATTTCAGAGGTGTACGCATGTTTTGTACTGCAGTGTACTGTCACTGGGCAGTAATGTAAACACAAGACGGATGTCGAAGCCTGACATGGGATCCATCTTTCACATAAAATAATCAATGAAATATTCTGGTCATAGGACACTATTATGTGAATTATCAAAATTATCAAAATTCAATGTTTTTAACCTCCTCGGATACTAAACGAACACTGATGCATTTATTCTTGTTTACAAATTCCGCCCAGGGAGAGCTGGTTTCAATATGTACGCAGAGTATACGCAACTGCAATTAACTTTCCTTGCATTACATTCTTGGAGCAGCTAGAGTGTTCGTACAGATGAGAACTAGATTACCCCGCCAGTACATCAAAGGCTGCTCTTACTCTCCAGAGGATCCTGAGTACGGAGACGCCGCTCATTGAAGTATAAAGCAGTTGAGGAACAAGAGATCTTGATGCAGGGGACGCTGTTCTTTACAGACAGCTCTTCACAAACTGGTTGCAAGTCCAACAAAGGTAGCAGCTGAGAACCCATTAGGAGCATCTCCGGTTGTAAGAACAGCTAACATAGAAGAGACTCCAGGAACAGCTCCGGTAGTAAAAGTAGCAGCTAGGATTACAGTAGAAGCATCTCATGAATCAGAACAGCTGACCGTGATAGTGAAGTTTGAGGAAGCTGCTCAGATAGATTGTGATCGGGAGCAGCTGAATGAGATATTTGATGTTGAGGAAGCTGCTCAGACAGACCCTGAACTGGAACAGCTGAACTACAGTTTACTGGATAACATATAGATGTAGTAAACGCCAACTCCATAACTTGGACCAATATCTATCCAGGTACAGTTTCGTCTCACTTAGCTATCAATGTTTAAACCCAGATACAATCTTGTTAGCTATCTGTGTCAATACTGACACTAGCAATCAATTGACCAATGTCTCAAACAGGACACAAATCACACGGCTAATATCCGTGAACTATCAACGCCACTTTACTGGGAGCGATATCGTTTGCTATCAACTGGACAATAGCGATCGTATGTTTCAATGAAACCAAATTACTCTCAACACAGTAATCGAACCGGAGTTTCTGTATCAACTTATGTATTTGAGATTTATATATTACAAGTTAAAGTTAATATACGTAATTACAATTTCTACGTCGTTATCTATATCACATGATTACTACAATGATGTTAAGTATTACAGCAAAGATAAAATAGGCGCAATCAATATGTATGTCATTATATATATATATATATATATATAAATCACATGATTTAAGATAATCATGCTACGTATTTATTTGAAACGCAGTTCAATAAATAATGGGTTTTATGTAAAAGTTTACAATCGTAGATAGGTAATAATGTTTACCCAATATTTATAACATAGAGTTAATTAAACCAAAATAAACTTGTACAGATGTGCTTAACATGATTTTTTTTGTATGGATTTCGATTAGATTTTTATATTCCTGTTAAAACACCTTGTATTTGTGTACTCCTTTACTTTTTAGTTTGTCTATTTTGCCATTACAAAAGAAAGCCAAGTAAAATCCTCGAATTAGTAAAACGTTCACCATTTTGAGACATTTCACATTTTGTTTGTTTTTATAACATTTTTTTAAATTATAACAATTGGCATTATTCTATAAGGGTGAATCTTTATCTAGATTTAATTCCAACTGAGGAATTGATCAGACCCATAAAATGTAAATTTAAAATGAAGATTTAAACTGAAATTTTAAGAATATTATGAATAAGCTGGAAACCCTCTAGCACATTGCATGCAGATGAGTAAATCTACTGTATACTGGAATATGAGTAAATCTACTGTAAACTGGAATATGAGTAAATCTACTGTATACTGGAAAATAAAATCTGGAAACACTAAAACTACAAGGTGTGACCAGTTCCAATGAAATAAACAATGTATTTCATCCCAAAAATGCAATTCATGCTAATTTATTTTGCTTTCTAAAAAACACCAAATCATGGTTTTTTGACAAGTCCATTGTACACAATACACACAATTTTCATAAATCAAGATTTTTGTTTTAAAATGTCCAGGGATATTCGGATATCATCAAAATGATCATATTAGCAATTTCTAAACCTAGAACCCGAGTGAGCTGTGTAAGTGTTCATAAGGTTTTTAAGTCTGTTTTTCACCATATAGAACCCGTTCACTTCACAAAGTGATCAATTTTTAGCTCCGAAAACTTAAAAAACTAAATATTAAATTTTCACAACAATATACGAATTCTAAAATGTAGATTTATCTCTGTTTCTTTATATGCCTGATTAAAGCTCATGAACCTTTGACCGATTTGCCTTGTTTTTGAAATCTCGGTAGAACTATGGGAATGTTCTTTTGTTTGGTTAAATATTTTATAAGCTGAACTGAGTAACTGATTTGTATAGGGAAAGTTATTTTTCCAGCAAACCCAAGCTTGTAGGTAATTATTTTTAACTCAAGTTTATTAGAAGAAATTGGCAAATTCTCATCGATTTTAGCGTGAGAGCTTGCAAAATTTGGATTACTGTGCTAAAAATAGCACAGTGATCCTCTTTACCCTCCCACTCCCTTGGTACATTTATACTTTGCTTGTCTGGGTGTATGTTTGTTTGTTGGTATCCAATAAACGTCAAAACGGCTGAACAGATCGGGCCCAAATTTTATGTGGGACCTCGCGTGACCCCAGAGAAGATTTATGGATGATCAAAGTTTCAAAAATGAGCAAAACACGATTTTCATCTAATTTTCAAAATCCACGAAATTTTTTTATAAAATCCGCGAACTTTTTTGTTTTTTGTTTTACAATGTACACAAAGAGAAAAGGTTCACAATTGAAATTAGAAGATGGGCGCGAAGCGCACTAAAAGCCTAGTTTGGTAAATTGTAATGATGCCAGACAGTGAATGACAGTAAAACTGCTGGCTCATATTTATGATGAGTATTTTTCCGTCCTCATTGTCTTTTCCTTTTCTTGCACATTTATCCCATAAATTTAGATTCTTTGCATTCCCATACCTTGTTTTCCCATTATTTTCCATTCGAATTCCTAACATTCAGGCGTTGCCCGTGAAAAAAGTTTGAAAAATAAAAATAAATAAAAAAAGCGTTTAAAAATTTAAAACTAAATTCGAATTTGTTAGCCTATAACACCCACTGGCCACCCATGAGTGTCCACAAAAAATTTCAGCCCAATCGGTCTAGCCGTTTGGCCGGCTATGGCAACATACGACTATACGAATGTCTTGTTTTATTATATAGATATGTTAAAAAAAAAAATGATAAACTATACATTTCTGAAAAGCCCTTGACCATGCAATTTTAAATATGCAAAAAATTTTGCAACATTTTAAATAACCTGATCTGAAATAAAGAAAAACTAAAAATGTGCAAATTTCTTTTGGCAAATTGCATGCAAAAATGTATTTCCAATCCGTTTTCTTATGTAACATATTTCTCAAAAAGTTAAAAATTATCAAAATCTGACAACTGAAAGTGGGTCAAAACAAAGGTAGTTTGTTACAGGAAAAATTAGTCATTCAGGCAGTGCGCCTGAGGACTCCTGGATTTAGACCTAAAAGGAAGGCCTCATGGGTATTTAGGAAAAGTCAGAAAATTTCAACAGCATCAGACTAACACTTTTTGAGTAATGTAAAAAAAAACTACAGGGGGGTCAACTTGACCCCACCCGCACCACCACCACCACCAGGAATAGGGTTAAAACCCCTGAGTGCACTTTATTAAACTTTTCCTTATTCAATATTAAAACCATGAAAACCAACCAACCTTAATACCTACATTTGTTTCAATCATGAATCAAATCTAATTTATAAAAAATCGATTTTAAAATTTAACTCTTAACTTAATAAAACTAAATAAATAATAAAAAGATAAAAAAAGCAAATATAAAAGAGAGCATGTTAACTCTTCAGATAATACATTTTTAACTTGACAAAATGTTAAATCTTTATATTTTTATAACTGTTAGTCAGGGAGAAAAGGCTTTGCTATTTCTGATCTAGGTTTAAAAATAAACAGCGGTCGGCGTTTATATCAATACAATGAAGACGACTTTTCAATTTCAGTTTTTATTTCTGACAAGTTTTTTTCAAGTTTATAAGTAAACAATGAGAAGCTGTTAGTTGACAAATTTTCTTTTTTTCCATGTTTATGTGAATCCATTATGGTTTAAAGCTTGGTATAAATCATAAATTGAAATCTGAAGTCGTCTTCATTGTATTGAAGTATACATCTATATTAGAAATACGGATTGTATAATTTAGGAATAAAAATGTTTATGCATGACAACAACAAAAATATTTTATAAATTTTTTATGTTTCTTTTCATGACGTTTTTATTTATTCAATTCATGTCGAAAAAATTTAGTTTTTCCTTTAAACATTCATGTTTATCCTTTCATAGATTTAAATTTCATTCATTCTCGGAGAACAGAGAAAAGAGAACAGAGAACAGAGAACAGAGAACAGAGAACAGAGAACAGAGAACAGAGAACAGAGAACAGAGAACAGAGAACAGAGAACAGAGAACAGAGAGAGAACAGAGAACAGAGAACAGAGAACAGAGAACAGAGAACAGAGAACAGAGAACAGAGAACAGAGAACGGAGAACAGTGAACAGAGAACAGAGAACGAAGAACAGAGAACAGAGAACGGAAAACAAACAATGGTGAGCGAAGAACACAGAACAGAGAGAACGAAGAATTAAGGAGAACGGAGAACAATTAACAATATATTTTTTTATTTTGTTTAGCTAAGTATGAACTTATGAATGAAAATAACTCATCATGGACTTTCACAAATATTGATGGTTGTATTTATGTTTCTTCGGTGATATATAAAATAAATTCCGTGTCAACTAACCCCCCCCCCCCCCCTTCTCTTCGTCCAAAAAACTATAGGAGTATGATAAAATAAGCCCGATCTTTTTATTTCCTAAATGTGATTTCATTTGCCTAATTTCTGCTTTGAGAAATACCGCAACAATTTATCTACAGTGAAACCCTTAATAACGAATACATCGAAAGAATTCATCAAATGTCGTATTCTTCACTTTCTGATAATGGAATGTTGCAGATATTTAGTTTTTTTATTAAATGATTATATGGAACTCTTTAAAACTGTTCCCACATATTCATGGCTATTAATTTATTTTCGCAAATACTGAAATTTACGTAATATAGTATAAAACTCATTGAAAAATTGTCAAGACGACATTTGATAAATTCTTCCGATGTATTCGTTAATAAGGGTTTCACTGTATTAGAAATTTGGAAGATTAAAAAGATTAATATTGGTGTTAAAAACAAATAATGATGTTTTAAAGTTGTTTTTTCATTCTCATTTTCTTTCGGACACTCTTTAAAACTTCTTTAATGAGAGCTTTTTATTCTGATGAATTTTTAATCCGAGAAATGTATATAAACCAACAAAGTAAGGAGATAACGGTATAAAGAGAAACTAATTAAAATCCACACAAAGAGAAAACTATTCCATGAAAGAAAGTATATAAACAAATTAAGCAACTTCTGAGAAAAGATAAAGTATCCTAAACATTTAGTTTTCAAGAAAATGTAAATCCTACAAGTTAGAAACTTTTAAATTTTGACTACACACTCTGGGCCCCCCCCCCCCCCTGTGGAATCTAAACCGATTCTTTGATTCTTCGTAATTATCTCATCGGTAATTGTTTAAGGATTCGATCAATGAGGCTCCGATACTTTTAACCAAAAAGAGAATAGAACTTATATTAGAGTGGAATTTATTAGAAAAAAGTGTATAACGGCCATTTTGTTGTACTGTTTCCATACTGCAGGTGTACTTCACATATTTGTACTATATAACCTTTTGGGCCCTGGAACATCATTTTATGGAAAATCTAAAATTAATGTTAAAAGTTTAATTAACAGCTTTACAAAATTTGAAATTAAAAGGAATAGTCTAGGGAACATATTGTATTAATGTGCTCTACTGCATACAATTTGTGAACATTTACATGATTTGTACACTTTAGACTCCCTTTCAGGCTGAAAGGGACTGACAAAATTCATACCGAGGGATTGTTTAAATTCCACTCTAACACAAATTTTATTCTCTTTGCTTTTAAATTAATAATTGAGTTAATTTAGAATGTATTAGTGTACTTTTCAATTTCAATTCACCAAACAAGCTAACCTCCTCAGGATGTTAAGATCAGGATTTGTAGCATAGCTTTATCTTAATCAAAAGTTGCTTGGTCCGGTGAACGATGTTATATCCAAAATCTTCACAAAGATTACAGAACACTATTAGTACTTTAGTATATTCGGTTTAGCATAAAGCTTTTCCATTCAAATTGACGGAATATAGGAGCTCTGACTGAAAAATATTTGTTCACAAAATGTAACAAATCAAACTTTTCAAAGAAACTGACATCTTCCATTTTTCTTTGAATAACTTACTCTATGAATGTAATCTAAGCTTTTTTGGCCATTATCTAAATTTCAATAGATTCTATCTGTACTCTTGCGCTGAAAAGTTTTTCTCTGTTTTCTAAACATTTTACTAGTTTCTCCAATGGTTTATATATTCCAATATTTCTTATTTACTCATCTCTGATTTAAAAATCATCTCTTATGTGTTCTTCGATTTTAGAATTATCTCTAATGTACTTAATGTTTTGATAGCTATCTCTAATGTAATCTATGTTTTTAATATTATCTCTATGTACTTTGTGATTTGAAATTATTTCTTACGTACTCAATGTTTTTTGAAATTACCTCTAATGTACTCTATGATTTGAAAATTATCTCTTATGTACTCGATGATTTGACTATTATCTCTTATGTGCTGTATGATTTGACTATTATCTCTTATGTACTCGATGATTTGAAAATTATCACTTATGTATTCGATGATTTGACTATTATCTCTTATGTACTCGATGATTTGAAAATTATCACTTATGTACTCGATGATTTGACCATTATCTCTTATGTGCTCTATGATTTGAAAATTATCTCTAATGCACTCTATGAGATGAGTGCTTTTACCAAATATCAAGTGTCCTTCCTCAGCAGAAGGATATAAAGGAATTATTGACAAGAAAAAGAAAAAGGAAAAGATTTATCAAAGAATTTCGTTCAGGAATTATTAATATAATTTTAAGTGACCGGAGAAAAGTAAAAGGTCTTAGTGAACCTTCAATTCCAATTTAAAGATTTCCATAAAAGATTTAAAATGAAACCTTTTTTAAAGAACCCGATGATGGAAAGACGTCTTTTTCTGCTTTAAAAATTGCATCGGCGGATTTTCTAGAAACCCAATCCTGCAGTGTCCGAATTTAATGAATTTAAGCCGCGTCTCAAATCCCCCAAAAACCGGTTTCAATTGAGCGCCGGATTAAATCTTGAAAACTTGTATACAATTTTAAGTGGTATCAACCATATTTGAGTCCAGACTTAAATTTAAGCCGCGGCTTAAATTCTTTAAATTCGGCCTCTGGATTCTTAAGTTTCCTTATGTTTATGTCACCGTTGAGATGAAAGGGTAAAGGGTATTTTTCTATATTTCTTTTTACGTTTGTTTACGTTTTAGTGTACGGCCATCTTTCACATTATTAAAGACTGTTTATTAGATTCTTTTATTTTTACTTGAATTTTATAACATTTATAATATTACTCTGATCAAAATGGCAATGTCAAAGTCCTATTTTATTAAACGTTAAATGTTACACTGAAATATTATAAAAAATACTTATAATTATATGAATATCATATACTTCAATCGATATTTACCGGTCCGGGTTTCCGCTTCTCATAAAATTAAAGTTTTATCACAGGTATGAAATAAAAAAAATAAGAAAATATTTCCATAATCATAATTATGCTTGAAAATTAATCTGAATACTATGCATATACAGGTAAATACTGTTTTTTTTGGGGCGGGGGGAGACAATGATGAAAGCAGCAGATAACTTATAAATAGAAGGGCTCAACGGATTTCTGCTATCAAAGGATGTGAAGGATTTTAATATCTAGGGATGGGAAGGATTGAACTATCAAGGGATGGGAAGGATTGTACCATCAAGGTATGGGAAGGATTGAACTATCAAGGGATGGGAAGTATTGAACTATCAAGGGATGGGAAGGATTTTAGTATCTAGGGATGGGAAGGATTTTAATAACTAGGGATGGGGAGGATTTTAATATCTAGGGATGGGAAGGATTTTAGTATCTAGGGATGGGAAGGATTTTAATATCAAGGGATAGGAAGGATTTTAGTATCTAGGGATGGGAAGGTTTTTAATATCTAGGGATGGGGAGGATTTTAATATCTAGGGATGGGAAGAATTCTAATATCAAGGGATGGGAAGGATTCTAGTGTCTAGGGATGGGAAGGATTTTAATATCTAGGGATGAGAAGGATTTTAATATCAAGGGATGGGAAGGATTGAACTATCAAGGGATGGGAAGGATTGAACTATCAAGGGGTGGGAAGGATTGAACTAACAAGGGATGGGAAGGATTGAACTATCAAGGGGGTGGGAAGGATTGAACTATCAAGGGATGGGAAGGATTGAACTAACAAGGGATGGGAAGGATTGAACTATCAAGGGGTGGGAAGGATTGAACTAACAAGGGATGGGAAGGATTGAACTATCAAGGAGTGGGAAGGATTGAACTATCAAGGGTTGGGAAGGATTGAACAATCAAGGGATGGGAAGGATTGTACTATCAAGGGATGGGAAGGATTGAACTATCAAGGGGTGGGAAGGATTGAACTATCAAGGGATGAGAAGGATTAAACTATCTAGGGATGGGAAGGATTGAACTATCAAGGGATGGGAATGACATATCTCCAATCAAATCTCTCCAATCTGAACTGTAATCACTGTACCCAGGAAAACTAAAAAAAAACATAAATCAGCTTAAATTCATTAATTTAATATATCTGTAAAGAAATTAAGTTTTTATCACAAACTTTGATTTTGTGTTAGATCAAATAGTCAAAGTTTAGATAAGAAAATTTGAGTTTTGTTTCAAAAGTTAAACTTTATTGTATTTTAAGTAATAATAATAATAATATACCTAAAATGTTCTTTCTCTCTTTCTCTACATATCTCTAGAGCAGCGGAGAGAATCTTCTCTGGAAGAACTAGATCAGTCTGAGGTCCTGCCTCCCTAATTAAACCTCATTTTGTAATAAAATTGAATAGATACCTTTTGCTAAATTTTGAATTATTAAACATTGGGTCAAGCTTTTCTTAAATAAAAATTTTATATTTATCTTTTATGTCGTAGAAAGTACAAAAGGTATAGGGGGTAATAATATTTTAATGAAATTATGCATGACGTCATGGGTGTAAAATGTGTTTCAGTTCCAGTTTTTATAGTGGAGGGCATAAAATTAAACAGTAAAAAGTCTAAATAAAATTGAACTAATATTACTGCAGACTTTGCACTTTAGTCTAAATTTTTGAATGTTATCGAATAATTTGACTGACACTGAAAATTAAAATGTCAACAGTGAAACATGTAAGTTTCCAGTGAAACATAACAGTGGCAAGAAGACTTGAAGGTCGTCGCGATAGGTTTTTAAAATAATTTGCAGCATTGTATTCGTAAAATTGATTTTAGAAGTATGACTCTAATAATCGCAACCTAATCCTAGTCCTGGCATTTCCAAAACGCGTGGTCTGATTTTGTGTGCTTTTATTATTACCACAATATATAAAGGAAAAATTTCGACGATTTTGATTTTATTTGATAAGTTGATATCAGAACAAAATGTTTAATATCTCCGGTAATATTGATTGCACAAAAAAGACCAAATTTTGAAAATTTTATCTTTTTAAGAATCATATACAGGGTGTCCCACGAAACATGACAGTTGGGGAATAGTATAAAATGTCTTCTTCCATATTTTGTTAAGTTATTTAATACCAAAGAGAATAATAAACAATATCATAAAGCTGTCATATTATAGAACATTTATTTAAAACTAAAATATATTTAAGTAAAATTGATTCTTTTAGCGAATTAAACTGCGAAAAGTCTTAAATATCTAATACAGAATATGGAAGAAGACATTCAAAACTATTCACCAACTGTGATGTTTCGTGGGACACCCCGTATGTAAAAGTAGGTTGACGAATGAATACCCCAAATAATTTCATAAATCTAAGACGACCTTCCGCAAACTGTCCATTTCGTGGGACATCCTGTATTTGAGAGAACCTGTAGTTGGTATCATATGTGTATACAGGATAGAACCGGCTTGAAGCTGATCGGAACGAGTTCTGTATTCGAACCAACATGGATAAGGACGGATTTGTTTCAGTTATCTTTACACACAGATGTGTTTTCTGTCCTACAAATCAAAATAAAAATGAAGATAGGATTAATATTTAAATATTTTAAAAGGATAATAAGAAATGATAGATTGTATAAATTAAGTCAAGTAAGAAACCTCAGAAAATATGAATAAATCATGATATGAATAACTTCATGTTTGAATGGTTGATTCAGTTCTCATTCTATCATCTCTCCCTTATTGTGATCAGAAATGTAGGATTGTTCTAATCCTAATATCTTTGTAACTTGATGGTTTAAAACTTTAACATTTTTTAAACAGAATTCATCGTTTGAATAAGGTATAATACATTGGGTTGCAAAGATATCTGGATTAGAAAATCAGAGTTTGTGGCAACGACTCAATTCCTTCCGTCCAAAGGATTTTAGCTCTAAAATGTGGTTTTGGATAAGAATCGCATATCACAGAAACAGATGACTGGATAAAAGTACCTAGTATCGTTGATAAAAATAAATTTTTTTACTTTCCTGTTTCTAAATTTGATAGAAGTTGAGTCATTTGATATTTCAAACTATATTTTTTTAAAATAATCTAAGTTTGAAATATCGAAGGTCCACGCCATCAGATTGCAAAGATATAGTGATTACAAAATTTAAGTTTGTGGCAAAACTCAATTCCTTAGAATATAAGAGAACTATTGTTACTTTTTTGTCAGAGTTAATAACTAATTTTAAAATCGAATCTTGTGAGACCCCCCCCCCCCCCGAAGAGCGAGTTTGTCTTTTTTAGGAAGCAAAAATAAAACATAAAAACGTCATATTTTCATAATACTACACTCTCAGTTCGACTACCCTACCTAGCCAGTTACCCCCTTTAAGTATTGATTAACTGACTAAATTTAGAGCTTGACAACTTCGGAAAGATTTTTATATTAATCTTTGAAATTATAATTATAACTAGATGAAATAAGTTACTCAATGGTTTTTATAATACAGAGTCCTTTTCAAAAGATTATTGCTGTCTACTGTCTCTAGTGTCAAGGGAACTGATACATTAAAACTTAAAAGAGAGAATTCAAAAGAAAGATGAAAACACTACCTTGAAGCTTGCTTTTCCCATAAAAGAAACCCTGCGAGCAAAGTTTTGGGGTAATTATTTTAGTGCAAAGTCATATTTCTAACCCATAATTCTGGTCTAAGTCAAATGTATAACTCATAGCTATCTCTCTAAGACCCATTTTTAAGGAATTATAAAAGGTATTTTCACTTAATTTAATGTATGCTCGAATCATATAACGGTATGCCCTTGAAACTTTAATCTCGTCAATAATGTGGAAAATCGTCTTTTTAGCGTTGAATTCTCCATTGTTCTGTAGTAATAAATGAGTCACATAAATATATATATATATTGCATATTTGATCACTGATGCGACAAAGCTTTATGGGGTACCGTTGTGAATCAGACATGCCACTTTATAAATTCATACCGAAGAACGTAGCGTTCATACAAATTCGGAAAGTTGCAACATTCAACTCAACATTCAGATATTACAACCAATAGTCATCGATTATTTTTCGACGCATTCGTATATAGTTAATATTTCATAACATTTTTGATAATGTTTTTTTTGAATAATATTTCGCTGGCGTTGGATTTTCGAACATTCCTGGAAAATATGAAAATGTCGGCTTCATTATTAAAAATCCTCGAAACAGGAATAAATGTTTTCAAAAGTAACTCTCAGATCATGAAAAATAAAAATATTATGAAATATCAACTATAAACTAATGCGTCGAAAAAAAATCGATGATTATTTGTTGTAATATCTGAATGATTTGTTTGAAATTAAATTGATTTTATTGCGAACCAAGACTCTACAGATAGATGTAAGATTAGTAGCGATCAAAAGCGCTTATTTTTCGCCCTAAGCCTATACCCCCTTTCATTTTTCGCGAACACTCCCTTTAAGTCCAAGTGAACTTCTAAGCTCTAATTTGTTCAAAGTCACATTAATAAGTCATAACTATGTCTATACATTTTAAGGTCACGAGGCTAACTGATGTTCTCAGCCACAATTGTATAAAAATAAACACACTTAAAGATTTAGTTGATAATTTAGGGACGAGGAAAAGAAATTAAAGTGCAAATACTTTTGAACCAAAAAAAAATCCGTTAATAAATAATAAAATAGTGACCCCAGAATTTTTATGCATGGGTAAAACAAGCTCCAAGCTTTATATAAACTTGAAAAGAACCTTTTGAAAGAATTCTTATTTAATCTGTTATTCTAGACATATAAAGGAGCTTAGGTCCAAATATTGAATCTAGTTTTGATTCAATCCTGCTAACCCGGAAAAAGAATCTAAGTCCAATATTGTTCATATTTCTCAGGATTTGTGAAACACGGTCACAGAAAATCAAAAGTAGGAAGAAATAATATTGCAAATCTCTCAACAGAAATAAGTTTTTGTTAGAAACTCGAATTTTCTTAGCCCTATATCTTTGCAACCTAATGTCGTATACTTTTTAAATATATTTCAAACTATATGAAATCTTTGAGATTAAATAATCTAAGTTTGAAATATCAAAGATTTACACCATCAACATCGCATTAGAACTTTGGCCTGACACTCTGACTCCTAAAACTAGCATATCAAAACCTTGACATAACACATTAACCCCAATCATATTATATTGGACTATGGCATACTTCAAGCATATATCATATCAAATATGCAATTTCCCTAGCGGTAATTTTCCCAATGTTTAAGTTAGACCTTCTGAGGTGCCGCACAGGCTGCAATGAGGGGCCAAGCGCTGTGGCTAGAACAGGCTGGAGGGCCGAGCTCTACGGCTATTACAGACTTGGGACGTTGGCGCTTGGGAAACTGCACCGTTGGGAAGTTACTGGTCGAAAAAATACCCTTGGGAAGTCGCCGCTTGGGAAAAGCCTTTGGAAAATACCTTACATCTCATATATCATATTATAGCATATCGCATATCAAATAGAGCCCTATAAAAATAGCATATTCATTTAAAGGCCTTGCATAACATATAAAATCCTCATATCACATTGCAACCCTGACATATCACATTGCAACCCTGACATATCACATTGCAACCCTGACATATCACATTGCAACCCTGACATATCACATTGTGACCCTGACATATCACATTGCAACCCTGACATATCACATTGCAACCCTGACATATCACATTCAAGCTCCAGCAAATCTATTTTGAATCTTGAGAAGCCCAATACCACTGAGTTACTTTATTGATTGTTTATTTTATATTGAAGACGACAGATTCAAAACAGTGAAAAGAGCGCAAGGTGCCGGATAATATTCTTTAAAACACTATTCGTAGAGGCACTCTAGAATAGATTATTTGTTTTTAGATGTTTGCCTTTGTTTTAAGTTCTGTACTTAAATTTATTGCATGGATAGTTGATTTTCTACAACGCAAAATTTTACTGGATTTCAATTATTTCATATTTGTTACTGTTTAATTCATTCCAACTGCAGGGTTGAATTTCGACATTCTTATGCATTAAATTCCTACTTTTCTACAAAATTGCATTAAGCATTTAAAATTTAACTTTAAAACTTGAATGTATTTTAATGTTTAATTTTAACAACATCTGCGAGCCCCAGCGGCATTCCAATGATAATTTCTGGAGGCAACGAGATGCACTTTTGATTTTTTCCAATTTTTTAGTTGTCAAGAACATAAAATATAAAATCATCTTCAGACAAGATTAATCATAAGAAACTGTAAAGTTTCCTAGGAAGTTTAGAAAAAATAACACTGTAAAATTTCAAACCCCATGGTTTTGATAAAATCTTAATAACTGACGTTTTAGGATCGCCATATGTAAATTGTATTCGTATCCTTAAAGGGACTGTAAGCACAATTTCAAGTAACCCTTAATGCAAAGATGGCAATCTCTTATTTAGAACTGTACTCTGGAATGTGGAAGATACCATGTGTTTGCTTTTTTACTTGAAAAGTGTTTAATTCTGATAATTTCTCAAAACTTTTAAGCAACAAATGAGCAATTCACTTTCACAGAGCAATCACAAATGAAATAAACAGTTTAAAATACTTAAAGGAATTATCAGAACTAAATACCTTTACACCTAAAAAACGACAACATCTTCCACAATTTTGATCAGATAAAGGCTTCAAGGGAGCCGTTGTAAACTGGACATTTAATGTTAAGCTTGATATTACGCTAAAATTCATTTTAAAATTTAATGTTAAAACTCTTTTAGTTATTTAAATATTTACGGTAAAATTAATTTTCTGTATTTAAATAGTTTTTGGTGGCTTAAAAAAATAAATGATTAAAACGTATCAACATTTCCACATAAAATGAACCCTTGAATCTTTTCAAAAGAATATATAAAAAATATAAAAATGAAAAATAGTAACTCACCAACATAATCATGTAGTGTTGGAGCAAATATTTGTTTTGAGGAAGGAAATATTCTGAAACAATATCCTGGTATATTTACCGGTATTATATCAAATAATAATAATTATTTATGTATATAGGATATTCACAGGATTCTTTATTATGTGCATTCTTTATTTAATATTCTACACCAATATATTATTGCAACTCATAAAACATATTTTTTATCTTTAAGAGATGGATCACAAACCTAATAGCAGGATTGTAAATATTAACTTTTCAATACGAGGTAAAGAGCCTCTCCCTCTTTTAGGAGGCATGTCCGTCAGATTTACAAAGAAACCTTTGAAATATTTCTCTAAAAAAGAATGAATGTTCTCTTTTTGTAAATTGATTATGTTCACCTCGAAAGTGAACTGAGGATTTCTGCTTACAGAAACGTTTAAAATTGATTGTCATAATTAAAAAAATTTCAAGATAAGAATAAAACGGATGATGTCTTTCTTCGACATTATTGATCAAATACAGCTTTCTTCAACATTATTGATCAAATACAGCTTTCTTCAACATTATTGATAAAATACAGCTTTCTTTAACATTATTGATCAGATACAGCTTTCTTTAACATTATTGATCAAATACAGCTTTCTTTAACATTATTAATCAAATACAGCTTTCTTCAACAGTATTGATCAAATACAGCTTTCTTCAACATTATTGATAAAATACAGCTCTCTTTAACATTATTGATCAAATACAGTTTTCTTTAACCTTATTGATCAAATACAGTTTTCTTCGACATTATTGATCAAATACAGCTTTCTTCAACATTATTGATCAAATACAGCTTTCTTCAACGTCATTAATCAAATACAGCTTTCTTCAACATCATTGATCAACTACAACTTTCTTCGACATTATTGATGAAATACAGATTTCTTCAACATTATTGATGAAAAACAGCATTCTTTAACATTATTGATCAAGTACAGCTTTCTTCAACATTATGCATAAAATGCAACTTTATTCAACATTATTGATCAAATAAGCTTTTTTCAACATTACTGATAAAATACAGCTTTCTTTAACATTATGGATCAAATACAGCGTTCTTCAACATTATTGATCAAATACAGCTTTCTTCAACATCATTGATCAACTACAACTTTCTTCGACATTATTGATCAAATACAGCATTCTTCAACATTATTGATCAAATACAACTTTGATCAACATATTTTCATCAAATACAGCTTTCTTCGACATTATTGTTCAAATACAGCTTTCTTTAACCTTATTGATCAAGTACAGTTTTCTTCAACATCATTGATCAAATACAGCTTTCTTCGACATTATTGATCATATACAGCTTTCTTCATCATTATTGATCAAATACAGCTTTCTTAGAAATTATTGATCAAATACAGCTTTCCTCAACATTATTGATCAAATACAGCTTTCTTCAACATTATTGATCAAATACAGCTTTCTTAAACATTATTGATCAAATACAGCTTTCTTCGACATTATTGATCAAATACAGCTTTCTTCATCATTATTAATCAAATACAGCTTTCGTCAACATAATTGATTAAATGCAGTTTATGAGCTTGAAAGGTACTGTTGGAATCTATCATGCCCTCTTTTAATGGAGGGTCATTTGAAAATACATTGGCATTGGCATTGGCATTGGCATTGGCATTTTTAGAATACTAGGATTGTAAAACCAATTCAAAATAAAATTTCGCGGATCTTATAAAAAATTGTGGATTTACTGAAAATCAAATTTTGTTTAGGCAAATTTTAGGAATTTTTATCATCTATAAACCTTCCCTGGGGTCATGTGAGGTCCCACACAAAATTTGGGCCCGACCAGTTCAGCCGTTTTGACGTTCATTGGATACAAACAGACAACCAAAGTATATATATAGATACATACTGTAGGATTGTTTTATACGAATGAAATAATTTTGGTAGAATTCTGATTTTTAGTGTCATTTTAGCTTTTAAACAATTTGATTTAATCTCTTTTAGTCCCTAATTTCTAAAATACTAAATGTAAAATGTTTAATTTCAAACGAGGTATTTATATTTAATTTAGTTTTTATCAAACAGGCTTCACATTTCAGGATCAAATTCCTAAACTTTGCCCAACAAGGCTTCCATGGTTTTTATTGAAATATTTTTTATTGTTCCTTTATTTCAGTTCCAGACCATGTCATCTTCGTACATTAAAAACAAATAACAATAAAAGAATTACGAAGTTTATTTTTGTGAAGTGTGAACTGTTGTATAAAAAAGCCGAAAAAATTTGGATGTTCATTGGAATCGACGTTTTTTGGAAACAAACATATCAGTTAAGGCAAATATACACATACTAGGCCGCAATTTTTCGTTGTATTTGTAAAGCTCAACAATTTTTTTGTTAATTTTGTTGACTTTTTTTCAGGCAAAATTTTTATTTCAACTAGCAATAATCCTTCCCTGGGGTCATGTAAGTTAACTCAAAAAATTAGACTTGTTTGGTTCAGCCGTTTTGATGTAGATTTTAAAAATTTCAAAGGATAATTAAAAAGATTATGAACCTGATAATTGTCTGTTTAATGTTGTGTACAGTTGAAAGAAGGTCTACAGTCTTCTCGAGTTGATAATAATCTGCCTCCTCCATAAACTAGACAAATAAATCATTTATTAAAGGGACTGTACACGTTTTTGACTTAAAAGATGGAATCATTTCAATATCTTCCAGATTGTTGCTGAAAAAATGCTTAAAGGGGGTCCTGTCTCAAATTGGGGACTGTCTTAATTTGTGGGACACACCTCTAATAGCTCCTTTAATCTGAGTCTTGAGAGGAAAAAATTGCAAAACTTGCAAAATAAAAAACGTGTTTTTTAAAACTTCACAAATTTCTAGAGTATTTAAGTCTGTATTTTTAACTCTGATTGATCAAATTTAATTTCAATTTCAAATCAAAATTTCCAGGGCTTAGCTAGGGAAATGTTACATTTGCTTTAAGCTTTTCTTTTTCTTACAGAAACAGATATAATTCTTAATTAAATTGCAATAACCTACCTTGCTAATGTTAGCAATAACAATTGCAATGATCAAGTTTGCAATAGTAACGCTGACAAGCAGAATAAATGCTAAAAGTAGAATCTGCACAACTCCATTACTTCCACCAACATCGCGAACTGAAATAAAATATTTTAAACTTTTTATTAAAAGTTCACGAAAATTATTATAAATGGTAAATTGTCAGGGAAAAGAAAATGTTGGTTGATTAATGTAAAACCAACTTTTTCGGTATGTAGATACAAATACAGGAACAAATACAGATTATAGATTACAGATTACGGATACAAATACAAATACAGATTATAGATTACAAATTATAGATTACAGATTATAGATTACAGATTATAGATTACAGATTATAGATTACAGATTATAGATTACAGATTATANAGATACAGATACAGATACAGATACAGATACAGATACAGATACAGATACAGATACAGATACAGATACAGATACAGATACAGATACAGATACAGATACAGATACAGATACAGATACAGATACAGATACAGATACAGATACAGATACAGATACAGATACAGATACAGATACAGATACAGATACAGATACAGATACAGATACAGATACAGATACAGATACAGATACAGATACAGATACAGATACAGATACAGATACAGATACAGATACAGATACAGATACAGATACAGATACAGATACAGATACAGATACAGATACAGATACAGATACAGATACAGATACAGATACAGATACAGATACAGATACAGATACAGATACAGATACAGATACAGATACAGATACAGATACAGATACAGATACAGATACAGATACAGATACAGATACAGATACAGATACAGATACAGATACAGATACAGATACAGATACAGATACAGATACAGATACAGATACAGATACAGATACAGATACAGATACAGATACAGATACAGATACAGATACAGATACAGATACAGATACAGATACAGATACAGATACAGATACAGATACAGATACAGATACAGATACAGATACAGATACAGATACAGATACAGATACAGATACAGATACAGATACAGATACAGATACAGATACAGATACAGATACAGATACAGATACAGATACAGATACAGATACAGATACAGATACAGATACAGATACAGATACAGATACAGATACAGATACAGATACAGATACAGATACAGATACAGATACAGATACAGATACAGATACAGATACAGATACAGATACAGATACAGATACAGATACAGATACAGATACAGATACAGATACAGATACAGATACAGATACAGATACAGATACAGATACAGATACAGATACAGATACAGATACAGATACAGATACAGATACAGATACAGATACAGATACAGATACAGATACAGATACAGATACAGATACAGATGCAGATACAGATACAGATACAGATACAGATACAGATACAGATACAGATACAGATACAGATACAGATACAGATACAGATACAGATACAGATACAGATTCAGATTCAGATACATCAAGATCATAACTATTTACCTGATTGAAACGTGAAGTTATAATCAAAGTTGTATTCACCGGCCATCATATTAATACACTTCAAGAAGGAAGTGAAGGCATTGTCGAACACGTGATGCTTCCTCAGCGCCAGGTGGAAGGAGAAGGAGAAGGCAAGCAGGATAGTGGTGAATACTAGATAAAAAATATTTTTCTAAAATAGTTTTTAAGGATTTGCATATTTTTCGTAAACATGCTTATAGTTTTTAAATTAAAACATTAAACAGATTTTTCCGATAAAAGGCACTTACCAAGAAGAGAGAGAACCAATTGTCGAAAAACCTTTACAAAAACAGCTTTTAACATAAATCGTGTATTTTTTTGCAAGGAAAAAGTCATTTAAAAAAATTAAATTCAAAATATGTACTTTTTTATAGAATATCAGAAAATTACTAATTTATTCCAAATTTAAAAACATGAATAATTTATACAGTTTAAACTTTTTTACTTTTTATAACTTTGAGATTTTGTGAATATTCTGATTGTTGTATCCGCAGAATATATTGGATTTAGATGAAAACTTGTAAAGTTAGAATTATGTTGCAAGTTTTCCTTGATGGCGAGATAAATGTATATTCCGATATTAGGAAGCTGTAAACAACAACATACTTCGTTATACAAATATTTTTTATAGATCTTCTCATAGACATCTCAAAGATACAAGGTGTCCCACTTCATATTGGATCATTAATAGCTCGAAATTACGATTTTCGGGATCAATCAGAAGATTTAAGAAGAATCAATCATTTGTAAAAATGTAAAGGTTTTTTCAGTATTATGCCCGTCTTTTGGCGTTAAAGCTTGGAGATAATCCAATATGATATGGGACGCTATGTATAAGAATACTTTAGATTCGACACAAAGTTTACGGTACAGAGACCGAAGCTTAAGACAGGGTATAGTATGACAAATATAAGGTTTAGGATAATATCTTTATAATACCAGGGTGGTGTACTAACTACCCCCAGGGGAACCAGGATCTTAACATTAACCTAGTATGATATATAATATCAGGTTTAGGATAATATCTGCTTAATACCAGAGCGTGGTGTATACTAACTACCCCCAGGGGAACCAGGATCTAAACATTAACCTAGTATGATATATAATATCAGGTTTAGGATAATATCTGAATAATACCAGCATGGTGTACTAACTACCCCCAGGGGAACCAGGATCTAAACATTAACCTAGTATGATATATAATATCAGGTTTAGGATAATATCTGTATAATACCAGCGTGGAGTATACTAACTACCCCCAGGGGAACCAGGATCTTAACATTAACCTAGTATGATAAAAAATATCAGGTGTAGGATAATATCTGTATAATACCAGCGTGGTGTATACTAACTACCCCCAGGGGAACCAGGATCTAAACTTTATCCTAGTATGATAAATATCGGGTTTAGGATAATATCTGTATAATACCAGCGTGGAGTATACTAACTACCCCCAGGGGAACCAGGATCTAAACATTAACCTAGTATGATAGATAATATCAGGTTTAGGATAATATCTGAAAAATACCAGCGTGGTGTACTAACTACCCCCAGGGGAACCAGGATCTAAACATTAACCTAACCTAGCATCAAGAGACTGTTTACTAATTGTATAACGTGTGCTTCAATTTTCAATGTAGGTCGAAAAAGTCAAATGAATGCTTGATGTGATTCTTGTAGTTTCTATTAAGGAAAGGAATAATAAAGTTTTTTTTAAAGAAATTAATTTTGGGAAATCATCTAACACCAAAAATCTAATTAAAAAACAAATCCCTTTTCAAACGTATAACATTCAACAAGAATAAAAAAAATTTAAGTTTTTACGCAATTATAAAAAAATTTTCAATTCGTTAATAAAAAAATTGAGTCTTTGCCACAAACTTTGATATTTCAAACTATGAATTCTGTTGGATTAAATAGTTTAAATATCTAAGGTTACACCAATAGGTTGCAAAGATCTAGGGATTAGAAAAATTGAGTTTGAGACATAAGCTCAATTCCTTTGAATTTAAAATGAAGGTATTAAGGGACTGTAAGATTAATTTTAAGTGACCCTACAAGCAAAAATGGCCATGTCCGATTTAAAAGGATACCTGAATCTGATTTTTAAAAATGGACGTCATTTTTATGACTCGCAAAGTGTTTATTTTAGGGAATTTCTTATTTGTTTTTGATAAGCAAGAAATGCGCAAGCCACTTTTGCCGAGAAACCACAAAAAAATTTAAATAAACAATAGATATCTAATTCATACTTAATCTTAGAGAAAGCTTAAAGGGCAACATCGTAAACCGGGCATTGCAATCTTTGTATGGAGTTCCACATAAAATTACGCTTACAGTCCCTTTAATAGAATATTTAAAGTATCTTTGTTCCTTGGCAAAGTGGAAAGTGAGTCCGAACCATCCAAAGAACACTGTTAGAACCTGGAGGATCTCGTAAATATACACGTGCTCTAGTTGGTTCATTATTCAATATTAAATTAGATCTCTTTAATATACACGTCCTCTAGTTAGTTCATTATTCAATATTAAATTAGATCTCGTAAATATACACGTGCTCTAGTTAGTTCATTATTCAATGTTAAATTAGATCTCGTAAATATACACGTGCCCTAGTTAGTTCATTATTCAATAATAAATTAGATCTCGTAAATATACACGTGCTCTAGTTAGTTCATTATTCAATATTAAATTAGATACGTGCTCTAGTTAGTTCATTATTCAATATTAAATTAGATCTCGTAAATATACACGTGCTCTAGTTAGTTCATTATTCAATATTAAANATATTGAGCATTATTATGATGATATTGATGACGATAATGAGGATATTAAGGATTATTATGATGATATTGATGACGATAATGAGGATATTAAGGATTATTATGATGATATTGATGACGATAATGATGATATTGAGCATTATTATGATGATATTGATGACGATAATGATGATATTGAGCATTATTACGATGATATTGATGACGATAATGAGGACATTAAGGAATATGACCTTGATATTGAGTATTATGATTGTGGTGCTGAAGTTGATATGATAAGATAAAGATTATATTAAATACTAGCTTGGGAACCCAGCGTTGCACAGGTTACTCATAGTTACTCCATTCGTTTACCCACAATGGTCGTAAAAACCAAGCTATGAACATTCCCGTGGCTCTCCCCAGTTCCCAATAAAAATTTGAGGCAAATCAGTCCGGTGGTTCCTGAATTATAATCGGACAAACAGACAAACAAAGATCTTTATATGTATAGATTATAATGATGATATTGATGACGATGTTAATATTGATATTAATGATGATATCCCTCAGAAGGAAGACTGCGGAGAGTATGACAGTGAAGGAGTAGAACCCGAGGAATGTGACTGATTTCCCAGCTGTGATCAGAAGCTTTTCTGCAGAACGAGGAGCGGACGGGGACACGGTTGAGGACGCAGGCGAGGCCAGGGGTGAGAGGGAGGACAAAGTTGCAGAATTGAACAGTGAAGACCCCTAAAATGAAGGGATTTGATAAATCTTATTGGTTGATACAGGGCTACTCCCAGAGAATGAGACTTTTACGATTTGGATTTGGTCTTCTACTCTAGAAATATTATTATTTGGTCTTCTACTATTGAAATATTATTTCACAGATAAATAAACATATTTACGAATACAAGATCAAAGCTGCATAAATGTATAAAAAAATGAATGACTGAATTCCCCACAGTCGTCTTTAAAGTCTCATCTGATATGGGTAACCATATATCTCTACAGATCAAAAATCATGTTTCTATAGAAACTCACAATATTTTTAACAAAACAAGAAAACAGTGGTTTTGTTAGTGCATAATTAAAATAAGATTTGTGATGATCATTTATCTTGTTTAAACCAATTTATGTTTCCTATTATATATGTGACATATGTAAACAGTCATTGCACCTGAATAATTATATAAAGTATAAAAAGCGTTATATACTTACCAGGGGATGTGATATATTATCGGATATGTTTATCATTGTATCTACATTTGGTCTGCTCCTGTCATTTATTATTCATTAATCCTTTATTCCATCCAGTCCATCATTTATTTTATTTAATCCTTTATTCCATCCAATCCATCATTTATTCTATTTAATCCTTTATTCCATCCAACCCATCATTTATTTTATTTAATCCCTTATTCCATACAATCCATCATTTATTTTTTCATTAATCCTTTATTCCATCCAATCCATCATTTATTTTATTTAATCCTTTATTCCATCCAATCCATCATTTATTTAATTTAATCATTTATTCCATTCAATCCATCAGTTATTTTATTTAATCCTTTATTCCATACAATCCATCAGTTATTTTATTTAATCCTTTATTCCATCCAATCCATCATTTATTCTATTTAATCCTTTATTCCATTCAATCCATCAGTTATTTTATTTAATCTTTTATTCCATACAATCCATTATTTATTTTATTTAATTCTTTATTCCATCCAACCCATCATTCATTTTATTTAATCCTTTATTCCATCCAATCCATCATTTATTTTATTTAATTCTTTATTCCATCCAACCCATCATTTATTTTATTTAATCCTTTATTCCATCCAATCCATCATTTATTTTATTTAATCCTTTATTCCATCCAATCCATCATTTATTTTTTATCAATCCTTTATTCCATCCAATTCATCATTTACTTTTCGTTAATCCTTTATTCCATTTAATCCATTATTTATTATTCATTAATCCTATTCCATCCAATCCGTCCTTTTTTTCATTAATCCTTTATTCCATTCAATCCAACATTTTTCCATAATCCTTTATTCTATCCAATCAATCATTTATTTTATTTAATCATTTATTCCATCCAACCCATCATTTATTTTTCATTAATCCTTTATTCCATCCAATCCTTCATTTTCTTTCATCAATCCTTTATTCCATCCAGTCAATAATTTATTTTATTTAATCCTTTATTCCATTCATTCCATCATTTATTTTATTTAATCCTTTATTCTATTTATTCCATCATTTATTTTATTTAATCCTTTATTCCATTTATTCCATCATTTATTTTATTTAATTCTTTATTCCATCCAATTCATCATTTATTATTCATGAATCCTTTATTCCATTCATTCCATCGAGCAACCCCGTTAACCTTACTACATTCCAATCCATCTATCCATAAACCCAAGCCCCATGCTCTCTTAATTTCTCCACTCCATCCATTTTAAATGTCATTCATTCATCCTAATTTACGTCCTATCCATCATTTATGAATCCATTCTTGTCAATTATTCCTTTGTTCCATTAAATCAATCCTTAATTCTTGCAAACCTCAATTCTTAAATACATTTTCTTATTTTCACAAGATCGTACAATTTTAAATTCTATTCAAACCATCTCACTTTAATCAAGTGGTTTAATTAGATAACACCTTAAGATAATTAACAATTAAGAAGAATTCCGGGTTGGAAATAAAATAATGAATGAAAACTTTATTCTAATTTAATGAATAACATGGAGGAGTAATGAATGAAATGTTGTATGATATACAAATGAATAAATGAAGACTTGTTTAATATATCAATGAATAAATAAAAACTTGTATAATATATCAATGGATAAATGAAAAGTTGTATAATATATCAATGAATAAATGAAAACTTGTATAATATATCAAAGAATAAATGAAAAGTTGTATTATATATCAATGAATAAATAAAAACTTGTATAATATATCAATGGATAAATGAAAACTTGTATAATATATCAATGAATAAATGAAAACTTGTTTAATATATCAATGGATAAATGAAAGCTTGTATAATATATCAATGGATAAATAAAAACTTGTATTATAAATCAGTGAATCAATGAATGTATAGTGTATCTATGAATAAATTAAATGTTGTATAATATCAATAAATAGGTGAAATGCTGTATTATGTATCAATGTATCCATGAAAAGTTGTATAATATATCAATGAATCAATGAAAAATTGTATAATATATCATTTAATCAATGAAAAGTTGTATAATATATCATTTAATCAATGAAAAGTTGTATAATATATCAATGTATCCATGAAAAGTTGTATAATATATCAATGTGTCCATGAAAAGTTGTGTAATATATCAATAAATAAATGCGAACTTGTATAATGTGTTAATGAATCAATGAAAAGTTGTATAATTTATCAATGAATAAATGCCTGGGTAGAAACCTCCATCCTCTTCTCTTTAATTCTCCTCTAAAATATTGATGTTAAACGTTAAACATTAAATATTACATATTTAATATTAAATATTAAAAATTAACTTAAACCACTTGGTTAGGATAGGTTTATTTTATAAAACCAGGTTTGATTAGGTTTAGTTTACGCCACTAGGTTTAATTAGGTTTAGTTTATACCACTAGGTTTAATTAGGTTTGGGTTATATCACTAGGTTTAATTAAGTTTAGTTTATACCACTAGGTTTAATTAGGTTTAGTACCACTAGGTTTGATTGGGGTTAGTTTTTACCACAATGTTTATGGTTAAGGAAACGCTTTGTCGTGGATAAGCCCTAAAATATTTGACTTATTTCAAGGGGAAGGTTTAAATTATGTTATGCAAATGTATGGGAAAAATTATTCCAAATGTTTTAATCGGGAACAATCCTTTTAATTGTAAACTTCTATCTACTAATTAGTTCTTTTTTTGGCGTTGGTTGTGGCTCCATCTTGTTTGTTGGAAGTTTTTAAAGAATAAATATTTTCAACTTTCATAATTTGAAATACATTTATAATCATTAATCTTTCCTATACCATCATTAATCTTTTACACTGCTCTCTGCATTGAAAAATAGTAGAATGGAAAAAAATAATTAATTTAATTTATCAACTAAAATAGGAAACATATATTTATATATTTTACAAAATAAATCCACTTAAGCTCCCGAACCGTACGGCACAATAGAAAACATGTATATAAGTAAAAAGTCTAAAATATTTTAGGACATTCATCTTTCAAAAATATCAAATTTCAGACAAATTGATTAAGGGGTTCATGAGTTATAATCGGACATACAGACAAATTAACAAATAGAGATTACTACTTTATATATTTTACTTAAGGGTTTTAACTTTTTGAAAAAAAGCCTTGCCACAGCTACGAGATCTTTAAAATGTTTTAACTTATAAGATATTTCTCCAAAGCAGTGGAAGGGGAAGATTTTGAAAGCCCAAAATGCAGTTTTTGCCTAAAAATTCTTAAATTATCTTTTCTCAATTCCTAAAATAGATCCTTCAATTTCACACTTGTTTGAACTCTATTTAAAGTATACGGGAAGCATAAAATCTGTGAAAACTATCCAAAACTGCATTTAATGTTTAAACTTTACTTTCACATTCAACAATATTTTTCTTCTAAATTCAGATGACCTGCTTTGCTTTGCTTTACTAAATCAGGCCAGGCCAAATGTTTTTATTAAGAGAAAACAGTTTAACTCAATCTCTCCTATCTCCTTCCTCTGCACCACTTATTCTTCCCCTGCACCACTTATCCTTGCCCTGCACCACTTATTCTTCCCCTGCAACACTTATCCTTGCCCTGCACCACTTATTCTTCCCCTGCAACACTTATCCTTGCCCTGCACCACTTAATCTTTCTCTGCACCACTTATTCTTTTCCTGCACCACTTATTCTTCCCCTGCAACACTTATCCTTGCCCTGCACCACTTATTCTTCCCCTGCAACACTTATCCTTGCCCTGCACCACTTATTCTTCCCCTGTACCACTTATTCTTCCCCTGCACCACTTAATCTTTCTCTGCACCACTTATTCTTTTCCTGCACCACTTATTCTTCCCCTGCACCACTTATTTTTCAACTGCACCACTTATCCTTTCTCTGCACCACTTATTCTTCCCCTGCACCACTTATTCTTCCCCTGCACCACTTATTCTTTCCCTGCACCACTTATTCTTCCCCTGCACCACTTATTCTTCCCATGCACCACTTATCCTTTCCCTGCACCACTTATCCTAGTCCCCTGCAACACTTATTCTTCCCCTGCTCCCCTTATCCTTTCCCATGCACCAGTTAGCCTTCCCATGCACCACTAATCCTTTCCCATGCACAAATATATGAATTTCTTGAAAGTGCCTGTATTTAAGAATTAATAAAACAGCTAAAACATACATTTTTTTATGAATTTTATGAATGAATACACATATATATAATTATAATAAGACAATAATGACAAAAATATTTTCAACTTTCTTTATTCTTTTTGTCAAGGGTGTCCACTGTATGTACGTCCTTTGTATTTTGAGGTTGTCCTTAACGTCATTTATGTATTAATTTTCAAAATGTCCCTATTACAGTGAGTTTTTCTTAGATTGACCCAAAAGTTCAGTAAAATTTTGTTAAAAAAAAGTTTTAAAAATACAAATTTTGTTCGGCATTAATGGCATGGAGCTTGGTTCAATTAACGTAATTAGCTCAGTGAAGAAATTGCGTCTTCGAAACAAACTCAAGTGTTCTAATTCCAATATATTTGCATCCTGATGATGTAAACGTTGGGTTGCAAAGATATAGGGCTTAGAAAATCCGAGTTTGTGGCAAAAACTCTTCCCTTTACTATGCTTATTCAGATAACGATAATATAAATATAAAATTCTTCTAAAAAGTGAGAAATTTGATTTTATCCTTGATTTTCTGAATAGTATTCTTGGATGAATAATCTGTGCTGACGACAAGAACTAAAATTTCTCAACTTTGCTCAATTCATCATTTATTTATTCTCTGTCAAAATATTCACTAGATGGTTGGGTTTATGATGCAGGCTCACGAACACCAGGGAAAAAGTGAAAATAAAATTTTTTTCGTTTTTTTGGTTTAATAAACAAATCATAAAGATTATCTTGAGCCAATAATTGAAAACCCTAGATACATTAGAATTGTTTAGGAAAACTAAAAAGCTGAAAATTGTACAACCCCTTGTACATCATGAACTCGTCATACAAAAGGTCAGTAAAAACGTTTTACTTCTCGGGGTCAATCTGTAGAAAACAAATTTAACTAATCAGTATCTTTTGGCGATCAGCTAAATAACTACAAGGTTCACGATTAACTGATTATATATTTTATCTAAGATACGTGGTAAAAAGTTATCTCTATATTCACATGGTTTTTTTTATCATTACGTGGCTCAAGAAACTCCCCCTAGTCTTCTCAGCTGCCGTGGAGAATTATCCAAGAAGGACGACTTTCATAACCGCCACAATAGTC